TGGTGGCGCAAACTAATTTTGACCCAGAGGGAACCCTGAATTTGCTGCTTATTTGATTGTTTATATTTACAAGGGGGTGAGTTTCATGTTTGTATGATTTTGAAATTTTTGTTAAAAGTGAAAATTGAAAGTCATCAAGTTAATAAGAAAAATAAACGTCTAAAAAAATTCAACAGTCCCATCTAACTAAGTAACTTCTACAGTAAGTTTTATCCGAAAATAGGGCTACTTCCTAAATTGATAAAATGATGTATGTAATCAGAGATCTTTGGCAGTCTGTGAAACAAAATTGACTAAAATTAACACTGAATTGAAATAAAACCAAACCTGGGATTGTTTTCCCTTATTTTTTATAAAAAACGACATTTCTCAGGAAAATGTGTTTTCTTTTTTTCACCGGAAGTGAGAAACACGTGCTTGACTAAAAACGTCAAAGTGATAAATCGTTGTCGTCTACCTTTGATGTGACGTGAACCTTTGATGTGACGTGAATAGAAATACTTTTTTCCGAGATGTGAGTACCATTTGATGAAAGTCTGAACCAATAACTTGTGTGAAAATTTTGAGATCATTCCCTCATCCCATCTTTTCAAAAAAAAAATTTTTATGTTACTATAAATCCGTGTGTAAACAGTGGCGTAGCTTCCTATAGGCACTGTAGGCCTGCACGTGCCTACACTTTTTCCTCAAAAATAAAAAATTAAATTATTACAAAAATGCGATAAAAATTTAAGGGTAAGAGCGGTAGATGTGTAGAACCTTATATTAGAAAATGACATGTCACCTTGCTTATTTGAATCGAGTTTTATACTTTTAATATCGAGTTTTATTTCATTACGAAAGTGTTGCCGTGTTATAAAGTTGTTCTATGGTAAAACCTATCAGAGACGGATGAAGTTTTTGACAATATAAAAGTTTTTGAACGCTTCGATTCAAAATATAAATATTAGAATCTACAAGTATGCACGACAATGATCGGCCATATCCAGATATCGGTAGTGCTAGCTTTATACAACTGATGAGGAAGCTAAGCGATATCTTTCGAATGAAGGCTAGACATCTTGTCTTTAATATTCTCTTCCCTTCTTAAGGTATTTATGATTTAATTATATGTTCGTTATTCTGTTCAAACTGCACCTCCGTCAAATCTTGAGCACAAATGAAACCTGGCAAGTTCATCAAGTCGATTTGAAGTAAACGTGAAACATACTCTGTGTTATTACATATTTTAATGTATTTTAACTATATATAATATATACAAGTAATGTGTTCGAATACACATCAAAATCTGCATTAATTAGCGTATAGTACAGTCCCTGAGGACCTTTTGTGCGCAAAAAAGGTCCATAGATAAATGTTATACCAATGTAAACATTACACGTAGTGGTGGAGAGTTTGCCTTTAACATTAGCGATGCAATTCTCTTTTTTTGAATTTATTCTTTAATGAAACTTTATTTTTTCATTAAATTGCATATAAAGTAACATTTACAAACATTTCACAACAATGTAATTCAGATTGGAATGGAAATTATGTAATACAATACCTCTCCAGCTAAAGTAATTTTTAAAATAAAGATACAAAACGTTGCGGATAGATGTAAGCTCTTTGAATGTACATCGAAAAATAAGAGAATAATTGATTGTTGAATCATCACTATAGAGAGACTTAGGTAACTTATGGAGAATTATTAGAGGAAAGGAAGAATGTAAGGAAAACATGATTGAAAATACCGGTATCCGTTTTTTAATTCTTAAAATAAACATGTACATGTAAATGATTATGAGCGTTCTGACATGCCAAATTCATTCACACTGAAAGTAATTCTTACAATTGTGAAATAGATTTTTGAACATTTTAACACTACTTCGCGCGAAATAGTTCATTCAAATTACAAAAATGTTTGATAATAAAAGTTCTTCGAAATTCATTTTCTTACACTACTGTAGGTAACGTACTGGAGGTGTAAGTTTGCTTTGTCTTTACTTTCTTTATATGTTTGACTTCACGTAAACAGTCTATTCTATATTCAATATATGTTTCACTAAGGCTTTCATTCATGAATTATGGGAGCATAAAATCTTATTGACGCTGTTTTTGACATTAGATATTTCATCATCAATTGGTATTTAAATACCGGTTGTCCGGTGTATAGGAGTGCATTTAGTTAATGGCGTTCGATCTTGTTGATCTTTTTTCATTATTTTCTAATTATATAATTATTTAGACAACCTTATTTTGAATTTTGAAATTTTGACGATTGCTTATAAAATTGCATAAATTTGTTCTTTTTAAATGTATAGTTCTGGATTCATATATTATTACCCAAAACTATATACGGAAAAAAGCTCTTTTTTGCCAAAATGTCACAGTAGCTTTGCGTTGAGTTAGTGATATAAGTATGGTCACTCATCTTTAAATTGATGGAAAAAATGTAACCAAAATTCAGCAAAATTATGAATACTCTTCCTTCAGAACATGCCTTAACATACCCCAGAATGCAGCTATGGCAATGTAGATTTTCAAAAATTTCAGGGGGAGCATGCCCCCGGACCCCCCTAAAACAAGTGCCTACACATCAGTTTATTTCAAGCTACGCCCCTGGTAAACTGACCAAAAATGTGTCATTTGAAGCGTTACATACATAAAACCTAACAGTCTAAGAATTACACAAAAATCGATATTCAATTAAATTCTGAGTATATTTCTTTATCCTCCTATGCAGATTTCCCCACTTAAGTGCTTCACTTGATCTTTGTAAGAATTTCAATTTCAAATTTTATGTTGTTAGGCTTTTTGATCTCAGTGGAGTTCTTTTAAATAGTCACATATGTCCATTAAAATCACGTAAATCATACATGCATGTTGATACTAGTTAATCAGAGAAAAAAATCTCCAAAAAGGGTGATCCATCGAAGGACTAGAAAATGTAATATCACTTAGATCAAGTACGAAGCAACGTTTTAAAGCTGCCATCCATCACTTGGCACCACATGTTTTTAGTATAAGAAAGTCACCCATCATATTACATATTCTTATAATTGTTACTGTATTTAACATAAATACTGTTGATGTCAATGATTAACTTCCGTCTCTCATCGACCAATTTTGGAACTCCTTGCAGAAACTACACGTTGTCTAGCTACGAGGCTAATATTTCACAATTTAAACAATCATCTAATGAGTTCATATTCATTAATAATATAATATTTTCTATAGTTTAAATGTTATACACATGTATCTTTGTCGGACATATATATATAGTTACCTGACATCTCTGGAAATGTCTGCTTTTATACATTACGTGTATTTTTGTAAGCATATTATAAAACGAAAGTTCCAATCTTTTTATCAAATATATACAACTTAAATTACACGCTGCCTTCAAATTTGGACAAAAAATAGCTCCCAGCATGAGAGCAATAAGCTTTTTATGCCTCATTCCAGGACCTGACGACTTGGTCCGAAATTCGAATTTCGTAACTGTATTAAATTGAATTAGGCTAGGAAGATATATGAAACTAATTTTATCGCATTTTCTTCTATATGTCGTTGCACACAACAACATATATGATTATAATTATATAAAAACAAACAGCTTTACTAACTGTTAGGTACTTTATTATTTTAACAAGGCGTTTGACAATCAGCAACTTATTAAACATGTATCTGGAAACAACCATTTTTTCAATCACAGCCTAAATTCAAACACATTCTTAATTCTGCGGCTCTGATATCATATCAAAGTTAATTGCATAAAGTCACATGTTGTATTAACTTGTCAGAATTTTTTAAAAAAAAAACAATAATAAACTGTTTGTTTTAAGTGTAACAATGTAAATTATATCAAAATAGTCACTTGTTTATAATAGCGATAAGAAGTTCAAACTAACCAAGTAAGATTATTTATAAAGTATTCGCTACAGAGTTTTACCATTTACCTCAGTCTTTATAGGTGTATTAAAAATAACTGTTTACATAGTGTACCACTAAATATTCATCAGATTTTACATAGGGGTCCTTATTAATAAAATTTTAATTTGTTACCAAGATTTTTCAAGTGATGACTTCAGAATAGATCTTTTGTAAGTTATATAAGCTGGCAGATCAAGACAAGTGTCCAAATTGGGTAATAATATAAAGTAGCGAAGGTAAAATGGCTGTGATGGTTGAATGCATTTATAATTTTGCAACCCATTTAGCATACTAAGCAGTAACACCTTCAACTGGCCTTTTTGACACATGAACAGTAGCTATATGAATGCATTGTACTGTACACATGTTATAACATTTAGTGTAAAGCAAACTATTGAAAATCATTGAACAGACTGTTGTGAAAATTTTCTACAATTTTTTGTAGTCCTGATATATCTACAAATTTTTCAGTTGTGTTCACAGTTGTGTTCACTAAGCTGAATTTAGGCTAAAATTTTCCTTGGAATGACCTTACTGGGTCATACCATTTTTATCTATTTTCTAAGCAAGATAGACTTGTTGAAAATATACCAGACTTAATTAGAATTAGTTTTAATTTGGGTCCTGTTGGGCTCCTTGCCGGTGGTCCTGTGTTACTGTACATATCGCCCGGGGGTTGCGTTCATTGAACGCCACCCTTCCTTGTTGATCTTGTTTATCATATTTTAAAATGAATAAATGTTGGTAGATGCTTATAATAGCTAGAATAAATCTGAAGTAATATTTCTCTTTCCATTTATTATTGGCTAAAAACAGCTTAACTGGTTGAATATTGGTTGTTCCAGGATTCATCATAGCAATAAAAGTCGTGCAGGTCTACATATAATCATCAGTAAATTCAAGCAGTGTTGAATCCACATGTCTCACTATGATAAAGAAGAAGAAGGTTTACATGGAGAATAATTAGCTGTACTAAAACAACGCGAATGACTAGCCTTACACTACATGTTTGTATTTAAAATTTTAAGCAATGTGCATATTTGGTACTCTATCACCCTAGATAATTTGGTTGTATGAGTCCTTCAGTGGCTTCGGAATTGTTTGGATATTTTCCAAGAAATTAAATGGCGTAAACAACAACAACAATTAAAACCCATTTTGTCCTTTTTAGATATGGAAAGCAATATACGTAAGTTTGGTGAATAACGCGACATTCTTATACATAGTTTTGTCGGTTGCATGCATTAAAAACATTGCATATAGTTGCGTACTGAACATTAGGGCGTGGTTTAAGTTGCATTTAATTCGGACAAAACTAATTTTCGGTCAATTAGTTGTTTGTTTTAGTGTAAAACTTTATTTTAATTTTTATTGATCATTTCAGATTAAAGTTGTCAATATGAATAAGGCAAAGCCTCAAAGCGAGCACTATGAGAGAAATTAGAGCTCAAACACATTTCACTACATATTATGACCATGAAAATATCGGCGATTGTTTTTTTTTTTTTCCACACATTTTATGATTACAAATAACTTGAACTGTAAACTTTAACGAACTTTAACTCAACAATATGAATTCACTTAAAATCCAATTTCGGTATTTATAATACACCGATTAACACTTTCAGAACTAGCAGACGACAGGCTATTCTTATCAGTAGTATTTCGAGTAAAGATAACGGGTTGCGTATCTCACTGTATAAATCGCATGTAAAATGGTCTGACATATGGTAGGTTCAACAGTTAATTTAAATACTTTGAAGTCCAAAGATGTGTTGAATTTTATACTGTGATGAAGCTAAGATCCAAAGCTTTCTATTGGTGTAATACATTTTAAAATCGGACATTTAATCCCAACAAACTAGCGGTTTAAAAACAGCTTATTTTGTATTGTTTAGCATAAGCGATATTGATTTTACTCGAAGATAAGGGAAGCAACTCGTATTTTTTCCACTCGATACACCTCGGTTTATTAAGTAGATCATATTGAAAGTGTTTATGGGTGTATTCCATTCTGATTTCTGTGATTTTTTAGGAATTTGCAAGGAAAAGGAAATACGTTAATACTTACTTGAAAACACTGGGATAATATTTCTTTATATTTTAAGGAAATGACATATTCTAAGAACAAATGTACTAACAAACAATGATATTAACGTATTTATCATTCGACCAATTTAAGTTGGAAAACCTGTATGCCTATGTTACTGTACTACGTAATAAATGTTCAACCTCTGTTGGCTCGAACTACCAATCTCTCAAACAAATTTGCACAGGCCCTTTGAGTTTGAGCCAACAAAGTTTGACTGTATATAATTGAATCAGTTAAAATTGTACGTACATAATGATAAATTCATATTCATCAAACGATCATGAACGCGGTATGAGTTTCTTTTCGGGAAAACATAAAATGGTGAATCTTTGCAATTGGATTAACTGTAATTGGCAAGGGGACCCAAAGGTTAATTTGAATTGGAACCATAATGAGACAATCTGATTCCTGGCATGCTTTGATAAATAATAGTTCAGGTTATCTGCTGATACTGATTCCTGGCATATTCAAAATATAATAGAACTGGGAACCAAATACGCCTCCAATGAAGAGCAGGCAAACTTATTACCCATAGTTTTGCTGTAGTTCTGGCGAAAGTTTTCAAATCCATCACTTGAACAGGCCTTTCCCTAGGTGCTAGGCTCTTTAAGCACCGCTCTCCAACTGTGCTTTAATCTCCAACTCAATCTCTCCGCTGTGCCATAAAATTCACCATGTTGCTTGATTTTTCCGATCCTTATTGTTCAGTGGTTTACAATTTCATATAGAGCTTGTAGATTCAGACTGATTAATCAATAAACACAGCGGTTGTCAATCAGCGCATGTGATAATGGATTAACAGGTTGTTTATAGGGTGCAATTAATAATAGTGCAGAAGTCCGTCGGTACACGGTCCTGGCTGAATAAAATCATGATTGTGGTCTGAGATATATTTCGTTACTGCCAGTCCTCATGATCAAATAAAATTTCAAAAAGCTAAAAATATCAATGACCTGTGACTTGTCTTTAAAAAAAGTTACAACAGCAACAATAAATTTTGCCGAAAATTACTAATTTAAAAATTTTGTTTTATGATACCTCTTGAAATAGCAGATGAATAACAATCTTACAATAATCTAAAAATAATCTAATATTATCAAAATCAACAACAACTATTTTGTGAATGTGAATGCATATTAGATTCCTCACTATATTTTCATAAATTTTGTGTATGTTTGATGTAAAGCCATTGGTAGACAATGGGGTATGATAGTAAAGAAATTGTTAAATAATATTTATTACATGCTTTTCGGTGGTTTATAGCAATATCATTGATATAAAACTGGTAATTTCACTGTTTTAAACAGTGAAATTATCAATTTGATAATTTCACTGTTTTGAATTTAAGCCCCTTACGTTGTTTCAGTGAAATACCAGCGTGCACAGTACTGGGAACCAACTTAATGACGTGACGTCGTAAATGACGTCACATTGTATTATTATTTGGCGCGCCTTTCATTCAGTATAAGGTTTAATGTCTTTTTAAAACGTTTCTTTGCATATAATAAAAAGAAAATTTGTTTAGTTTAGTGTAAGATCGAAATATATTTCTCCTTGTGACCACTAAAAGTTCATATTTCACTCGTGGCTGCGCCACTCGTGAAATATACCTTTTGGTGCTCACTCGGTGAAATATAGTCCGATCTTACACTGAACTAAACAAATATCCTCTATATAAATTGTTTTTGTTTCTTTCAGAGGCAATGGCTTAGTTACTCACTGTTGTGTAATATCTTGTGAACAGAAGTCACCGTGGAGTCATGGAGGAAGACATGTATTACGGAGATGGTTTGTCTGATATTGGAGATTTGGGAGATATTGATGAAGATTTATTGAGAGCTTATCTTGACGGAGATGAAGTGAGTCCAGAGATTGAAGAGCTTCTGAAAGGTACATGGATGATGTAAATACTTTTCTGAATGCAGGCCTTATTTTTGCCCATTTTCACAGTGCCTTTACCACATGACTTTTTCTGATCTGCGTGGGATAAAGTGAAACATCATTAGAATTTCTGATTATTAAAACTTGAGGATTCACTGTGCTACTAAAATACTGATTTTTTTCCCAAGAAACATTCTAAGTATGTGTTACTAACTTATTGTAATGAGTGGGCTATACATTTAGTCCCATAAAGAATAATGAAATATTAAAAAGTTATGAATGTAAGTACTAACAAGACCAGTCTTTTGTATAATATTTACACCCCATGTAGATCACAAGTCAATTGGTATAGGCTCTTTGATTTTAAGAAAAAGTGCCTTTAAGTTAAAAATTTTGGAAATTATAAAGTGCAAAATATACTTTTGCATATGTATTATTAATTCTAGCTGTGCCACTTGTTTACTTGAATTTTTCTGTAGAATTAATCAAATTAGCTTTGTAATTGACAAGTCACATGAAATCTGAAAAGTTAGTTTATTTATTAAGCTTAAGAAGTCTGTGAGTATTTGGTTTCAGTTTAAAGTTATGAAAATACATTTCAAAAGTAGTGAAGCATTAAGAATGTATTCATTATATTATGCTGACTGTCAAAGTTCAGAGACAAACTTCACTTGTTTACAAATATACACTCAGAGCCTATGCCATATTGGAATGTTTATATGCTACAAAATATAGAATTTTGATATTTTACTGTATTGTGGCCGTCAGATGATATTTTTTTTGCAATATACATTTTATTCTAGCTACGTTTGCATTATTAGGTTTGCATACATGTATAGTGTAATTCATTGATATTTGAGCCTCCGCGCAGTCTGATCAGGATCCATGCTGTTCGCTATCAGTTTCTCTACTTGTAATAAGGTTTGTAAGGGAACAGCATGGATCCTGATCAGACTGCGCGGATGTGCAGGCTGGTCTGGATCCATGCTGGTCGCAAACGCATTTTGTTGGTTTTGTCATGACACGGCTCATTTATAATACACATACATTCATTTTAATTTTCAGCATATGGCCAGGAGGCACCAGAGGCACTGTCACGTGTAACAGTAAAGGAATTATGGGAAAATTGTTTATCACCAACATTTTTCCAGACTGTAGAGAATCTCCTCCCTCTATTTCTACTTTGTTTTGTTTTTAAACTGATCTGCTCCTTCTCTAAATCAGGTTTGTTATATATAAAAAGTTTCTAATTTTTACAATATTCAGCTCAATTGTCTTAACTTAAAAACCTTTTTCAGTAAGTATAATTGATAAGCTATAGGAATAAGCAAAGTAAACTGGTGATTTACGTAAATTGTCTCATACATTTAAATAAATGAAGAAAAAATGTTATTTCAGCATCAGAAAGGTTTTAATCAGCTTATATATATATACAAAAATATATTTTTATCTTATTTTAAGGATATACACATGTAATGTATTTGGATAGAGACTAGGGAAGGTTTAGTTAAAAACACCTGTTATAAAAAGTTACTGTATTTATAAATAGCATTTTTTCACAGTGGTTTTAAGATGTTTTCTTATGATAGATACTCCAAGGTTATCTTTTCTTATAATAAAAATGTACATTTTTGTGAAAATAAACTAGTATGACTTATTATTGCTCATACAAGATAATGAAAATGATCATCATTGTAGCGCAATAATGAGTTAATTCCTATTTAATTTTAAAAGGAGTTAACATGTATTTGCTGTAAGATAACTACATAATGATCTTCTCTCCTCATACAGGATCTGATGACCAAGATATTCCACCATGGCTTATTCACCTGTCAAGTTTGATGTTTGGACTTCTTGCCCTGCACATGTTTTTCCAGCGGAACCTTTTCTATCTCTTACTGTGTAGTATACTGGCCTTTGCTGTACTGGTGATAACAAACTGGAGGAACCGAGATTATTGTGGCCTCTCACTCTCAGTATTTATCATAGTTTATCTTGTTGCCTGGTAAGTGGTTTAATCATAGTTTATCTTGTTGCCTGGTAAGTGGTATATCATAGTTTATCTTGTTGCCTGGTAAGTGGTTTAATCATAGTTTATCTTGTTGCCTGGTAAGTGTTATATCGTATCTTGTTGCCGGGTAAGTGGTATATCATAGTTTATCTTGTTGTCTGGTAAGTGGTATATCAAAGTTTATCTTGTTGTCTGGTAAGTGGTATATCATAGTTTATCATGTTGCCTGGTAAGTGGTATATCATAGTTTATCTTGTTGCCTGGTAAGTGGTATATCATAGTTTATCATGTTGCCTGGTAAGTGTTATATCATAGTTTATCTTGTTGCCTGGTAAGTGGTTTAATCATAGTTTATCTTGTTGCCTGGTAAGTGGTATATCATAGTTTATCTTGTTGCCTGGTAAGTGCTGTAACATAGTTTACCTTGTTGTCTGGTAAGTGGTATATCATAGTTTATCTTGTTGTCTGGTAAGTGCTGTAACATAGTTTACCTTGTTGTCTGGTAAGTGGTATATCATAGTTTATCTTGTTGTCTGGTAAGTGCTGTATCATAGTTTACCTTGTTGCCTGGTAAGTGGTATATCATAGTTTATCTTGTTGTCTGGTAAGTGCTGTAACATAGTTTACCTTGTTGCCTGGTAAGTGGTATATCATAGTTTATCTTGTTGTCTGGTAAGTGCTGTAACATAGTTTACCTTGTTGCCTGGTAAGTGGTATATCATAGATTACCTTGTTGCTTAACTATGTTTGGTTATAAATGCTTGCCAGTATCTGTTAATATATTGTGTTGAACTATTAGAATCTTACACTCACTGTTGGTACAGAACAGAATATCTAGCTCAAAAGTAATTTGTCCAACAGTTAAAATGTACCGGAAAACATATTTAGAAATCCTCTGATGTGAGACTTTATATATTTCAAATGTTGCAATGCTAAGAAGACCTCTTACAATACATACATCGATTATGCTATCCCCATCCTGGTGTCTGATGTTTCATTGACTTATATAAGAAATTTGTATTAAAAAATTATCTACACAGAAACTTCAATGCCCAGAGCTTAACTTTTAAATAATACATCTGGTGGGTAACTTTTCGCTATTTTACAAAATCACTTCTTAATTTGGATCATAATTTGGATCCAGCTTTTGTTGGTTCTGTGAAATAAGTCTGCTATAACTTTCCCCTAGTAGAAACATCTCAATAATTTTTGTGTTAGAGGACAGATTCTAAATAATTCAGTGTGATACATTGTTCCATATTTTTCTTTAAATAAATTCAGTTTTTTTTTATTTTCAGTGAATTTCTTATGGACAAAACTGTCTGGCACAGTATTAGAGGTAAGGCAGAATAATTATAAACTCTGTATTAAAATATTAAATTGATTCTTTATTTATCTTAAGTTGCATGCCTTCAGGTGTATAAAGAAGTTTTTTGAAATATTAAGAATGCCACTTTCCATGTTACTTCAAAATTGGAAACAAAAGCATTTCCTATTTTTATCACCATATTGAACTAATAGAGTAAGAGCCATATCTGCATATTTTGACATGTTCTATGTAATTTCTGTGGATATTAATGCTTTTTAGTCCCCTACCGGTTTAACCGGAGGGGACTTTAGGTTTACCCTCTGTCTGTCTGTCCGTCTGTCTGTCAGTCCGTCAGTCCGTCCACAAAACTGGATCCCGCGATAACGCAAAAAGTACTGAAAATATTTTTATGAAACTTGATATATGGATAGATGGCAGTATGGAGATTATGCACGTCTTTTTTTTTTCTTCCTATGTTGAAAATTCTGGTTGCTATGGCAACAAATAGTCTGAAAATATGGCAAATTTAACACATAAACTGGATCCAGTGATAACTCAAAAAGTACTGAAAATATTTTTATGAAACTTGAAATGTGGGTAGATGGCAGTCTGGAGATTATGCACATCTTTTTTTTTTCTTCCTATGTTGAAAATTCTGGTTGCTATGGCAACAAATAGCCTGAATTTCAAGATTTCTGATTTAAATTTTTCAGCTTTTTCACTATATGTTCTTTATTTCTTAAGGTGTTTACTTCAAACTTTAAATATAAGTTTCTGGTCATCAACCACATCATATGTGACAAGGTTTATAACTCTAGCACAAAAAATATCAGTATTACCTCCCTTGAACTTAGATTTTTTAGGGGAAAAAATGTTGTCTTTTTTAAATAACTTCTTTATTTCTTAATGTATCTACTTCAAACTTCATATATATGTTTCTTATTATCACTCGACATTTTTGAGAAGGTTAAATACTCTAGCAAGACTATTTCCAGAATTATGTCCCCCTTGAACTTAGATTTTTTTCGAGAAACTGGTATTTTCACTCCAACTTCTTCATTCCTTATAGGATTTACTTTAAAATCCCACATCGTAATAATATGACAAGGTTGTATAAACATAATTTCCTTACTAAGCATGGAAACTTAACACATTACTGTGATATAGACAAACTTATTTATTATGTTTTGTGGTTGATATTTTCAAATACAGACTTCATCCTCAAATTCATTATAAATGGCAATACACAGGAGTGTATGACAATTAAAGAACTTTTTGAGGGACCGGTAGGGGACTACTGTATTGCCCGCAATACTATCAAATGCTTGTTCAAATGGAAATAGCTTTGTCCAAAATTTGTCCTTGACTTTTATCACATGACATCCTGCTTTAATGCCATGTGTATGTTTCAAGTTTGGGGGCCATACCTAAATATAAAGCATAGATATGGAATTTATGGAAGCTGAAAGGTTCTATCTTCAAGATTGTTTTATTACGCTATGGCACTATGAAGGATATTACATGAAAAACAAGCAACATTAAGTTATATAATTTTTTTTGTCAGGGGCACAGATTATTTTATCTATGAAGATAATAGGGCTTGCGTTTGATCTCAGTACAGGTGCGATGATCGAGTTCCCGAGTGTATTTGCTTTTTTCGGCTACAATTTCTGTGTAGGAACAGTTATATTTGGGCCGTGGATCAGCTTTTCTGAATATAAACATATACTGTCTCAGCATAAAAGACCAATGGTAAATATTTATAGTGTATTTGACCTCTAAATTACTATCCTATGTATAAACTTTACCTTAACCTAAAGTTAAGTTAAAATTTATACATATACTTGTATAGGAACACCGATATTTGAAAATAAGTTTAGTACTTTATTAGTATAGAAAGGTTTTTGAAAGACAATATGGTCAAGTTTTAACAGTTGTAAGCTTATATGACCTGAATACCTGTTCAAGGGTTTTATAATAAACATAGTCGTATATCCAGTTTATATATAAAAATCTTTATAACTAATTTTACTGCACATAGATTTGAAAATAGAAAATTCTCTATTAAAATTTAATAAATCAATAGCAGCTCTGTATAATTATAGATAATATAAAATAATAAAATCATAATTATCCAATGAAAATCAGTAGTACCAAAGCATTTATTAATGAATTAATATATAAATATATATATAAGATGTGTTTAAGATTGGCCTTGGTATAAAGTAATATTGTGTTATCTTATTTATATTTGTCTTTCAGAAAGTATTTTGGGTTTTAAAAGTACTGTTTAGTTTGATATGTGCCCTGTTATGTGTTGTGTGCTCTACTTGCCTTGTACACTGGCTTATACTGGATACAAACTTTAAGTAAGTTAACTCATTATTTATCATCATATATAAATCAAAAGACTTTATTATTGTAAATAATGTTAAACATAAAAAAAATTAATTATCCTTGAAATGTTAAAAATAAATATGAATAGGTAACAAAAAGCAAATTTCAGGAGTTCTATATTTATTTCCAGAGCTAAAGAATTTAATATCTTAAAGAATTACATTGCCATGCCAGCATTCAATTCAATTTAATTATTATATATACATGTATATAGTGTTATCATCCACCAAGCCATCTTTTATTGGCTATGTAAATTAGTTATTGAATGATATTTTATATCATACTCCATTCATAAAGAAATATTATGACATCATCAATGCTATGTGAAGTCAAAGGATGATGTCATTACAAGAATGGCATGTAACAAGATGATATTTTCATTCTTCAACAATGTTAGGCTTTGAAATATCATGTGATACAGAACACCTTGCATTTATTGGCATTGTTTGTAGATTTGAGTTTTAACTGAACTCAGAAATATCATTAAAACCCTAATAGACTGTTTCAGTTTCAATTCTTGAAAAGTTCTGATTCACAAATATGTGATCAGTTTATTGGACAAATTGAGAGGTAGCAGAAGTAAGGGTTGCATATTTCAAGTAGTGAAGTGTTAATTTTGTAAATTTATAATTTCAGATGGATTGTTGCATATAGAGATGCCCAGTCATTTAGGTTTAGTCATTATTTTGTCAGCTTTTTATCTGAGGTTACAGTTATACTATGTGGTCTTGGTGCAACACACCTTAATGATGATGTTAGATGGTAGGTTACAGATTCAAATTGTTTTTCCTTATTTAAATCAATTTAGCCCTACTACACTAAATATCTTAAATAGAATTGTCCATCTTTATACCCCCAAAAACGAAGTTTAGGTGGGTATATAGGAGTCACCTGGTGGTTGGTCGGTCCAGCGGTCCGTTGCATTTTCCTTGTCCAGAGCATAACTTGAAAACTAATGGTTGGAAGTCAATATAACTTCATACAATGGTCAAGCACATTGAGAGGTAGTGCAGTGCACAAGAACCATAACTCCATCTTGACTAATTACAGAGTAATTGCCCTTTGTTACTTTTCCTTGTCCGGAGCATAACTTTAAAACTATTGGTTGGAATTCAAAACAACTTCATTCAATTGTCAAGCACAATAAGGGGAAGTGCAGTGCACAAGAACCATTACTTTATCTGAAGTAATTACAGAGGTATTGCCCTTTGTTACTTTTCCATTGCTTTCTTTTGTCCGGAGCATAACTTAAAGACCAATAGTTGGACTTCAATACAATTTCATGCAATGGTATAGCACATTGAGAGGAAGTGCAGTGCACAAAAACTCAATTTTGACTAATTACAGAGTTATTGCCCTTTGTTGGTTTTCCTTGTTCAGCGCATAACTTGAAAACTACTGGTTGGAATTCAAAACAACTTCATACAATTGTCAAGCACAATAAGGGGAAGTGCAGTGCACAAGAACCATAACTCTATCTATAATTAAGTACAGAGTTATTGCCCTTTGTTACTTTTCCATTGCTTTCTTTTGTCCGGACCATAACTTGAAGACTAATGGTTAGAATTCAATATAACTTCATACAATGGTCAAGCACATTGAGAGAATGTGCAGTGCACAAGAACCATAACTCTTTCTAAAGTAATTACAGAGTTATTGCCCTTTGTTACTTTTCCATTGCCTTTTTTGTCCAGAGCATAACTTGAAGACAAATGGTTGGAATTCAATACTATTTCATACGAATGACAGACTATTCTCTCCCTTTCCAGTTCCTCCCCCTGACGGTTCTCTCCCCAACCGTTTCCTCCCCTGACGGTTCTCTCCCAAATTTGAAATATGCAGACAGTTCTCCCCCATTTTTTTTTATAAGTTATCAATTTAGTTTTGACTTACTGTAATCTAATAATATTTCTTAATGAAGATTATTAAAAGAATGTGTTTCATATTAACTGCATTTTATGTTTTGTGTTTATCAGCTGAAAAGTGATTGTAAATTTTACACTTTTTTTCGGTATTTTAATCCTATCAACACCTTCATTGTGAGAGATATATATTATTGGACAATGATTGGACACCAGTCCTGTAATTATGTTAAGGTCTAGCTTGTTACTCATCAATACCTCAATACCTTTTCACAGCTATTTTAATCTAATCAACACCTTGATTCTTGAGTAATGAATGAATAAACACCTCAATTATCACTGACAGCAAACTTAACGCATGTGTGTATTGAACTCCTTTTTTCATTATACATGTTATACAAAAGTATGAAATTTAACAATTAAAATTCATTAATCATTTTTTGCTTATAAATTTCATATTTATTTATTAAAATAATAATAATAATATCTTATGATTATCCTAATCAAGTAAATTATTCATTAATTATTTTCAATGGCAAAACACATTACATCTAATTTAAAAAATCAGAATAATTAACTAATATGCTAAAAAAAGTTTTTCTTATTTACTTTATATCAATTGATAATAAAGTTACCAATTTATTAAACATCTAAATACTTCATTAAAGTATTTTAATCTCTAATTTATATCATTCTATAATAAACTTACCCATTAATGAATAATGATTTATTTAACATCTAAACACTTCAATAAAATCTTTTTTTTTCTTCTAATTTATAACAATTATCAATTTATTTATCATCTAAAATTAATACTGTAATAATAAAAATAAGAATGGGGAGGAACTGTCTGCTTATTTGCAAATATGCAGACGGTTCTCCCCCAAAATAGGGAGAGAACTGTCAGGGAGGAAACGTCAGGGGAGGAACTGGTAAGGGAGAGAATAGTCTGACTACCATTTCATACAATGGTCAAGCACAGTTAGAGGAAGTGCAGTGCACAAGAACCATAACTCCATCTTGACTAATTACAGAGTTATTGCTCTTTGTTACTTTTCCTTGTCCAGACCATTACTTGAAAACTACTGGTTGGAATTCAATACAACTTCATACAATTGTCAAGTACATTAAGAGGAAGTGCAGTGCACAATAACCATATTACCATTTTGTCAAATTACAGAGTTATTGCCCTTTGATACTTTTCCTTGTCCAGAGCATAACTTAAAACATACTGGTTGGAATTCCAAAAAACTTCATACAATGTTCAAGCACACTAAGAGGAAGTGCAGTGCACAAGAACTATAACTCTGTCCAGAGTAATTACAGAGTTATTGCCCTTTGTTACTTTTCCATTGCTTTTTTCTTGTCCAGAGCATAACTTGAAAACTACGAGTTGGAATTCAATACTATTTCATACAATGGTCAAGTATATTGAGAGGAAGCACAGTGTACAGAAATCATAACTCTTTCTGGACTCATTTAAAAGTTTTTGCCCTTTGTTACTATTTATTGTCCAGTGCATAACTTGAAAATTAATGGTTTGAATTCAATGAAACTTTATACAATGGTCAAGGGCAGTGAGATGAAGTGCAGTGCACAAGAACAATAACTCTATTTGGACTAATTAAAGTTATTGCCCTTTGTTACTTTTTTGTCCTGTGCATAACTTGAAAACTTGTAGTTGGAATTCAATACAACTTCATACAATGGTCAAGTGCAATGAGAGGAAGTGCAGTGTACAATAACCATAACTCCATCTTCAGTATTTATAAAGTTATTGCCCTTTGTTCCTTTCCTTGTCTTTTTGGACTTATTCATGTAATTCAATAAAACTTCATCAATGGCCAACCACATTGAAAGGAAATGCAACATACAAGAACCACAACTATCTTTAATTGCCCACAACCATAACTGTATTTCAATTGTTTTACAAGGTATTCTGTTACTAGTAACATCCTCATTTCCGAAGCAGTCTTGCGGGGGTATTAATCACGTTTAGTGATAGTTCTAGTTTAATCTGGACAATACCATTCATAATTTTTAGGGAAAGTTTCAATATACATATGTACTGGCTGAATAGCGAACAGTGCAGACCATGATCAGATGGCATGGATGTTTGTGCTGCCTGATCTTGGTTTGCACTGGTTACATTTGTAGAATCTGTTGCAATTGGCCTGTAACTGGAAGAAAGTTTTGTCTCTGATGAAATATCTTTCTCATATTAAAAGGGAATCGTTAATCAATTTTTTTTGTTCAAATTTCCAGTATGATTAAAATCAGTGCCAGAATGACATTTTACTATGCTATGCTATTAACATATTTGAAAATGTAGATTTAAAAGAAAATCTTGACCTAGATTGATATTTTATAATATTTTGTCCATATTGAATACCTGACAATGATGTATAATATTAAACTTTCAGGGACCTAAGAGTTAGCAAACCTTATCATATAGAAGTACCTAGATCATTAGTGGAGGTGGTAACAAATTGGAACATCCCAATGCATACTTGGCTTAAAAATTGTAAGCATCTTTATATTGTTTCTTTCTTTCTTCAATTCAGAATGATATACCGGTAGTTTTCATTTGCTTGATTTAATTTACCCTTTAGTTTAAACATATTTTTTTAATCTTTGTGTGAAAGCTTTGACCTACATGGTGGAGTGGTTAAGGTTGCTGACTTCAAATCACCTTAACCTCTGTAGGTTAGAATCCCGTTAGGAATTCTAGATACTTTCGTGTGAGGAAGCTATCAAACTAGCTTACCGAAAGCTGGTGGTTCTACTAGATTACCAAAAGCTGGTGGTTCTACTCAGATGACTGCTTGTGCCTGAAAATAATACATGAAAGGTGCACATGAGGTTTTTGCCCACCAGTATAGCTGTAAACTTGCCATATGACCTTTACAGTGTTGATTTGACTTAAAACCAACAAAACAAAGTAACAAATGAAAGCTTGAGCTCATTTGTCTGTTGTCATGTAAAGTTCTGAAATTGGTAATCCTTTTTCTTTGCAGATGTTTTCAAATCAGCTCGTCCTCTTGGAAATTTTGCAGCAATATTTCTTACATATGTAGCAAGTGCTCTTTTACATGTAAGTTAAAAGTTTTTTATTGTTTTATTGAAATACTATACATGTCAAATTAGGAATTAACTTAATTTCTGAGTTCATGAATTTATTTTTATTTTTTTGGTTGGAAAGTATTTGCATGTTGTAATTCTTGATAGCATTTTCAGAAAATTATAAAAATTTGATTAATCATTTCAATTAAAGAAAATAAAGTTTTGATAGACCCTACATATTTTAAGCAAGGAAAAAGATTCTGCTCTTTTTGCAAGTTGATTGTTTTTTTATTTTATTTTCTTTTTTCAAAAAATATTGTGTTGCCATGGTTATATAATTATTTATTTCAGGGTTTAAATTTTCAACTAGCAGCTGTATTATTATCACTGGGTGTTTATACCTATGTAGAATATGGTATGTTACTTTTGTTATTGTTGCTTTCCACATGCAATTGAATTGGAAAATAACATTTTATGTGTACATTTTTGATGTTATGCATATTCTTACATGGAAAAATAATGAAAAAAAGTATTTTACTTTTTCCCCTCATTCTTGACATAGAAAAATTTGTAGAGGACAACAATTGAAAAACAAAAGAAACTGTAAACAACAAATCACTGTACCATGTTTGACATAGAAAAATTGTAAAAAAATAATAAAATATTATAATTATATCTTATTTATTTAATGCAGCTCTAGGACATATTTTTCGATAACAATATGGTAGAAGACAACTTTTTCAAATAGTTTGCTTGATGACAATTTGTATGTACAATGTCTTTGGCCTTTACATGAAGTTATTCCCTAAATCCTACTGCATTTCTCAAGGGGTTTCAACTTTGCTTATACTGTCATAATTGTTATAAAGTGCCCAGTGGACGAGATTTTGTCACATAATATTACTAAGTTTTGGCAAAATAATGACCCTTTTGCTGTTGTTTATTTTGTTTCTTTACATATGTAAAATTTGCAGAAAAATTGGTTTTGTGACAATTTCAAGTCCTCTTTTATGTAACCGTTAATTAGAAGGGGTCATGCAGATTTTCTCTTGTCCAGCCATCCAGCTGTTAATCCACAGATTGACAATATAGTAGACTGTAGGGGCATCCATGTCCTATAAATACATTTCTGGCATGCACATTAAACTTCAGAAACGATTAAATTTTTACTTTTTTTTAGAAAGGGCAAACATGAATTTGATAATATTTAAATTATGGTATAAGACTATGTTAGATGCTTGTTACCTGAGGAATGTAGCATTAAATGTGAAACAATTTGTCATTAAAGTAGCAAAATGTAAACAATGTAGTATTTCGACTTCCATACAAAATATTACTTGCAATAACTGTATTCATTATCAAAAAGCAACAGAAGTAACAGATAGTAAATCTTATTGTAAAATTTTTGAGAAATAAAAATATAACTATTTCTGGGGCATAATGGGCCTTTAATTTGATATTACACCATGATGATAAATCCTCAGCTTCATTTAATTCCATGCAAGTATACAATTAATTCATATGCATGTTATTCTGCTTTTCAGTTTTTAGAAATAAATTGTCAGTTATATTTGATGCCTGTATAAAAGCTAGAAGATGTAAAGAAGGCTGTGGACATGCTTATAAATATGTAAGTAATGCTCATATATTATTATGCTTGATTGAAATGATTTTTAGATTTAGTAAAATATGTATAAATTGTTTTTGACTGATTAAGATATATAAATTATGTGAGAAATTTGTCACTAAAATGTTTAAAAAAAATGGAACATGCCATGGACTGTGAATTGTTCGTACCTATAGTTGGTATTTCATATATGATAGATTATGGTATTTGAAAATATTGTATTTTATGAGTGTAAGCAGAATTTTAAAAAAATCATAATTCTGCTATCATAGGAAATAAATTTCTCCATAATTATACAGCTTAATTCTTTTACTGCTAAAGCTCATAAATACATGCTTAGGTTTTATCCTGGAATTCATGTCAGTGAAAATTTTCCATACAGCGATGCATTGATTGTATAGATTACTTTATCAAGGGAGGTAATATTGTAATATAGTTTCTGTTATTTTGTGTCACTTGGAATTTGTGGCTAATCAATCAAAACAAAATTAGCTTTAACCTTAGCACTATTTTCACGTCTGCTATGTATAATTGATGTATACTGTTGCTATTTACATGTCCTAACATCATTCAGTAAATCACAGATCATTGTATATTTAAGATATTCAATTCTTTTCTCTAAATACAGGATTTATTTTCTTGGAGTGGTATGAAAATAAATACTTCATGATATGATAATTTTCATACCACAAGAGGAAAATATATCCTATATTTATAGAAAAAACTTGAATTTTCAGGTTATTAATTTCCGTTAACTTTTATGTAGAATTTAGAAAAAAGTAGTCTGGCAAGACACCAGTGAAAATACAGAAAATATGTTTCATTGCAATGAAAAATGAATTTTTACAGTGAAAATAAGGAAAATAAAAATACGCATTTTATTTCATCAATATTTCATCTATAAGTATATTATTATAAAAATTGTTAAGTTTGGTCAGTCATTCTGTATGTCTATTGGAACAAATTTAATGTTGGCCATACCATCTTTGTTCTACTTGTATATGCTAAAAGGGTTTTCTCTCAGAAAACTTATCTGGCCTAGACTTTTAATTTTGAAATATTTTGATATGGCCTTGACCTCTAAATGACCTTGACTGTTTAGGTCAAGTTTGTATGCAAATTAAAGAAGTTCCGACATAACTTAAACTATAATAAACTCGTAACCTTGCATAATTGAACGTTATAAGCCTTTGCCACCAGTATTGAGCCAAGCTAGCCTGCACATCCGTGCAGTCTGACAAGGTTCTATCCAGTTGGTAGCTTAATTTTTGATTTGCCTATTAATACTCAAATGGGCTATTTCAAGTTTTATAGCAGGTAAAATCAATTACACAAATTCAGTTGGTTAAGGGTAAAATAAAAAAATTTGGACTACAGCATTTGTAATTCATGAACTGATCTTGTTATTTATAGTCATCCATTTGTGATAACATACAGCATTTGTGATCATTTATTAACTGATCTTGTTGTTAATAGAGTCATCCATATGTGATAACATACAGCAGTTTTGATTAATGAACTGATCTTGTTGTTAATAGAGTCATCCATATGTGATAACATACAGCAGTTTTGATTAATGAACTGATCTTGTTGTTAATAGAGTCATCCATATGTGATAACATACAGCATTTGTGATTTATGAACTGATCTTGTTGTTGAAAGAGTCATCCATATGTGATAACATACAGCATTTGTGATTTATGAACTCATCTTGTTCCTTATAGAGTTATCCATATGTGATAACATACAGCATTTGTGATTTATGAACTGATCTTGTTCCTTATAGAGTCATCCATATGTAATAACATACAGCATTTGTGATTTATGAACTGATCTTGTTGTTGAAAGAGTCATCCATATGTGATAACATACAGCATTTGTGATTTATGAACTCATCTTGTTCCTCATAGAGTTATCCATATGTGATAACATACAGCATTTGTGATTTATGAACTGATCTTGTTCCTTATAGAGTCATCCATATGTAATAACATACAGCATTTGTGATTTATGAACTGATCTTGTTCCTTATAGAGTCATCCATATGTGATAACATACAGCATTTGTGATTTATTAACTGATCTTGTTCTTTATAGAGTCATTTATATGTGACAACATACAGCATTAACATACATCATTTGTGATTTATGAACTCATCTTGTTCTTTATAGAGTCATCCATATGTGATAACAGCTAACCTGTTATTTGGCAGTGTTGCTGTATTTCATCTTGCCTATCTTGGCCTTATGTTTGATCACAGCTCTAGTGAAGAATCTGTAAGTAATTTTTGTCCTATTTTAATTAGTTTTAAAGTGGCATGGCTCAAGAAGAGTAAAATATTACTTGAAAATAAATAAAACAAAAGAAATATGTATTTGTAATTGAAAATAATTATAGATATTTGAAGTTCTGGTGACTATGACAGAAGATACTAGTTTAATCACTAAAATCTACCCCATGACTAAAAGAGTAATACAGTAAGAGTAAGACAAATAATAGGCCATTTCTGTAGATTGTAATTTCTTTTATCCAGAGTTTTCATATAGACATATAGGCAAAATTAAAACTGTTCAATATAATTTCTTGACCCCAAATTTTTTCTCATTTAAAATGTTTTTGTTATCATATTCTAACAACATGCCAAGTTTAAAGAAATTTTATTGAACAGTTTTATTTTTGCTTATATGTCTATATGTAACTCACGAAAACGTCCTTGATGAAAGCTAAGTCACTTCATTCGTACATTTAACAAAACTGTACCCCTCACAATAATTTTTGTTAGTTTTTCATCAAAATTAATTCCAGTCTCAATTTGAGCTTCTTGAAAACACTGCGTAGTAGTAATAATAACACAGGAATTGGCTACTAGTTTCGCTCCAACATGCAGTGAGATCAGACTGCCAACTCTATACTAGTGACTACTTCATCATAAGGTTTTGTTGAATAGTTGATTGGCTATTAAAGCAAAAATGCTGTTTTGGTCTTGTGCACAAATATATAGATGCTCTTGTTTATTTCAGGGCTACAGTATGGAACATACATTAAGCAAATGGTCTTCTCTGAACTATCTAAGTCACTGGGTTATCCTTGGGACTTTCCTATTCCATGTGATTATATGATTATGATTGGATAATATAAAGACATGTGACTTTTGTCTGTCATATTATTGGATAACAAAATAACATTTGGTATTTGTCTTATTAAATTGGTTAGTGAATAGTGATATGACTGCCATTTAATTATATAATGAATAAATGTCAGGATGTGATTGGACGAAAATATGTCGTATAATTTCTGTCACACCATTGGACAGAAAAAGATCATGTGATTTTTGCCTGTTAAATGATTGCCTGGGAAAAATATTACATAATTTGTCATAGTGAAAAGAGCATTTAATTTTGTCTGTCAAGCAATTACTGAATATATGTTATATAATTTTCTTGTTATATGATTGGATAGTAAGATGTCATGTGACTGTGTCTTATGAGGTCACATGACTTTGTCTGAAACAGATCATTATCAGATATTATAAGTTTCACCAATGATGATGTTATCCTTTCAGATATCTAAAAAAAGATCATAATTATGTTTAAATGCAAGTAATTGAGAGTAAGATTTGTTGTAAACAAACATGTCTTTTACATATAGATCTGTGTTGAAATAGACATTTTAAAATCTGTTTTGTTTTGTACTGTTACCTAGTTTATCATGAAATTATATTTTAAGAAAGCATATACTGGGTATGTAAGGGTAAATGATTTTCATAGGAAATACATATGTATAAGATTTAGAGTGTTTAATGAAATATAATGATCAGGGGCCCAAGTGTCAAGCACTTATATCTTTATTTGACTTTATTTTATTGTGTTTAGAAAGTGAATGTGTGCAAGTATGAACCTCATTTGACTTTTAAACATCACTTTGAAGTCTAATTAGATGTTTCAGGGTACTATAGCAAGCTAACTCAAGTACTATGTGGGGTGTTTTACATTTGAGGATAGGGGGAGGGGTTCTAATCAGTACCGGACTGAAACGTGAGCGTAAGCTATCATTCATGTTAAAAGACTGCTAGTTAGTGAGGTAAACAGTGATTGCACCATTGTAGACTGTGAAAGTTTAATTAGACTGGATTCAATACCTTAAATTATTTATTAGGAGTTGGTTGGTCTACCACCACAGCATCCTACCCCCACCCCCCAACCCCCAATTTTGAATATGTTTCTCATTGATTTTTCACAATTTAGAATTGCAATGCTCATATTTATTATCTGTACAAAAGTCTAAATGTCTTAGCAATTTATTTCAAAATATTTTATTTGCATTAAGAGCTGTATGAAAAGTAAGCCCACTCTAGATTAGTGATTTTACACATGTCCTTAGAACGAGAGGTAATAGAAACTATTCAGACCTATTTGTCTTGAAGTGATAATTTATTTAACACTGTGCCTGACTGATGTTATGTATTATGCCATATGTGATGTCATGATGTGATGTCAGAATTTGAAGATATTTTTGTAATTCAGTTCATGATAAATCATGCATAGATACAGGTTTTCTGGTCAATATGAATGAAAACATCTAGATAAACTTTTCCGTATTGCACACTTTGTATTGCTTAGATTTTTATGTCAGGAATCTGTATCATCAGGAAAAAAAATTTCCTTAAGTTTTGTTAAGATTTTTACTACCAACAGTATGTTATAGAAATAAATAATTGCAAGCTCTTTAGAATACAACTGTACATGTTCATATTTAGTGATACAACCATTAGAATAGCACACTTGCATAATATTCCCTATATAATACATATAGCATGTTTGACATTTTTCATGAGTTATTCTTTTAAGAAAAACAGGACGTTAAGCTAAAAATGACATGCATTGTCCTTTCTTATTAGGCAAAATGCCAAATAGCAGTTTTGTTTCTGGTGTTGGGACCCCTCACCCAAACAAAAAGTGCAACACATCCCCTAGCACCGGCTTGAATGGTACTTAGTTTTCAACACATAACTTAAAAGTGCTTTTGTTAGATCATTATTTTTACATTACTGTGTTTATAGAAATGTGCCAAAAGAATTGCCACTTGTTTGCTTGTATGTTTTTAGTTGTTTGTTTTTTTATTTGTTTGTTTGTTTGTACACTTATTTGTCACTACCTTACAGTAATAATTTATTTGTTGTGAATCTATACTATATGATGGTTGTTATATAAATATTTTATTACCTAGCCCACCAAATGCTTTATAAATATATTAACTTTATATGATTTCATAAGTGCTGATATTTACATAGAATATACAATTACTTTTAGTGGAGCTGAATAGGGGGAATATATCTCATCAAAGATTTGGGTTGTGATTTTAAATCCAGCATGTTTTCTAAACCAATTTGCTTTATAACGTCAAAGAAAATTTGTCTGCAAGCATTGATTCAAGTTAACAAATAGGCAATGATTTTAGGGAAGGTGTAGGTGTTGTTAAAATTGGACTCTGATGACCTTCCATTATGTTCTGTTCACAGAAAGTTATGCCCATTTTGAATATACATGTATAAGTGAATTGTCTTACACATATTAGTTGATGTTGAGGAATGTGTCTTTTAAGTATTTGTGGGTAGTCTGGGTAAAATGACAAAGGCTAGTTGGTTCTCTTATGTGGCTTAAACAATAATAAGACAAACAGAGTACCAAAATAAGTTAGGTAGGACTTCTGTTAGTCTGTTCATAGTATCAGACGTCTTTCAATTAATTTACTAGAGAATTCTCTGATCTGCAGTCTCCAGATTTAGTGGAGATGTGGGTCATAGCTGATAGGTGATCCCTATTGATTTTAGCACAGATATACATACAATATGTATATTTAGCTCCATGATTTTAGGGTCTGCAGGTGAAAGTTAAATTTTGCCTTGACCACACACAAAAGGCTTGACTTTTCAGATGTTGATCTTTAGATAACCAATATTGATTAGACATATATTCAAAATTAAAACTATTTAATAGAATTTCTTTAAACTTGGCATTGGTAGAGAATGATAACAGAAACATTTTAAGCAGAAACATTTTTAGTTCATGTAAAGTCAGTTGATGGAATAGTTTATATAATTACATTTATACACTTATGTACATTTTTTTGTAATTCTATGGTTGAAATTGTCCACGTATAACTAATTTAATGATATAGTTTTATATGAAATAGTTCATGTCATAATAGTTCTAGTAAGAATGTTTTTGTAATAGTTAATGCAAGGCCAGTTTTGAAATTATAGTTCAGGTTAGGCCAGTTGTTGAAATTGTCCATGTAAGGCCAATTGATAAAATTGTTCATGTAAGACCAAGTGATAAAATTGTTCATGTAAGACCAATTGATAAAATTGTTCATGTAAGACCTATTGATAAAATTGTTCATGTAAGACCTATTGATAAAATTGTTCATGTAAGATCAATTTGTGGGATTGTTCATGTAAGACTAAAATTGTTCATGCAAGACACATTTATGAAATTGTTCATGTAAGACCAATTTATAAAACTGTTCATGTAAGACAACTTGACAAAATTGTTCATGTAAGACCAATTGATAAAACTGTTCATGTAAGACTAAAATTATTCATGTTAGACACCTTTATGAAATTGTTCATGTAAGACCAATTGATCAAACTGTTCATGAAAGACAACTTGATGATATTGTTCATGTAAGAGTAAAATTGTTCATGTAAGACACATTTATGAAATTGTTTATCTACTACACATTTATGAAATTGTTCATGTAAGACACATTTATGAAATTGTTCATGTAAGACACATTTATGAAATTGTTCATGTAAGACACATTTATTAAAATGTTCATGTAAGACACATTTATGAAATTGTTCATGTAAGACACATAGATAAAACTGTTCATGTAAGACAACTTCCTTAAATTGTTCATGAAAGACAACTTGCTTAAATTGTTCATGAAAGACAACTTGTTTTAATTAGTTAATGTAAGACAAATTGGTGAAATTATTTATGTCATTGAAATACTGTCTATAAGTAAGGAAAATGTGTGTTGGCAAAATGATTTATATAATACTAATCTAGAAAATTGTTGAATTTTAGTGCCAGTAAGCTTTGCTTAACTTGTTTAGATATGTGCTATATTTAATTGAGTTCATCTTGAATGCATGTTATAAGGTATATATGTCTTATATTTTCATATGAAATGTATCAATTCATGCCAATTTTTTATTATTATTATTCAATAACATTTATATAAAATATACATCTACAGAAATATCTTTTGTTTACATTATATGTAGTCATTACAATTTTTTAGACATCCACATAATATTTGTACACTTGTATACATAAATTAGACATCTACATAGCTTTTGTATGAATTATACATTTACATAATTTGTGAAATAATACGTCTATATGTATATATAGGTATATATAGACGTTAAACATTTATTATCATAATGTCAGATACAAAAATAGATGAAATAAAAGTAAAACAAATCATTTTGCTTTATTTTATTGATATTTTATTTTCAATTATGTCACATTTCTCTGATTCAAGAATTATTTATCTCACCTTTCATGTACAAAAAACTCGTGTCAGTATGAATTAAAGTCCAAACTTTCTCTTAAGAATTTATGAATAATGCAATATTTTTTATGAATTTGAAAACTATGGGCTGAGTTCAGAAGGTATAGTCATAAAATAACATCATATGAGGAGTGGTAGTTTACATTGTTGAATTTATATTTTTCATCTTTAGTTCACCACCTCTTCAAAAGTTTTATGAATAATTCCTCTGGGGTTTCTTTAAACAATATCCTTAGCCACATGATGGATTTTGACCAAACTTCACAGAAATGACCCTTACAATAATATGAATGGTTTTGATCTAATCCATAAGTAGGAATAAGAGTTAAAATTAGTAATGTTTTTTTTTAATCTACAAGGCACAGGGTATAGATATCTGACATAGTGAAAGCACCATCTGTTGATTCTTTAAAGCTGCATGCCTCCAAATGTTAGTAAGTCAAAATATTTCAAGAAAATGTAACTTGAGAACGAGGTTCTAAGATTAAGGAATGTAAATTTTAAGGAAAGTAAATAGATTCAAGTAAAAACTTACATGTTTTGTGTGATTAATGACTGATATTACAGTATTCATCACTATATTTCTACTGCTTTACTAATGCAGTATGAAGTATTTTTGCATATTTTTGGCCTCTTTTTGGTTACTGTGAACTGTAATGTGAAAATTACTTTCTTTGTTCACTTCACAGTGTCAAGATTTTAAATTCATTTTCAAAATTTTCATAAAAAATACAATGAACCTGGCGGCATATAATTACCCCTGGATTAAAATTGAACCAGTCCTTGGTCACGTGCATTTGTATCAGAAACACATTTAAATTTTCTTGTTTGAAAAGATTGCTTAACTATTTGGCATGCTATGCTGCTAATCAGACATCTAAAAAAGTTTTATTAATAAACAACACTGTCTGTTTCATACAAACGACTAAATATCAGTAAGTTCCTTACATGTTTATGTCCAGAAACTCCTGAAAGTGTTTACGTTTCACATGGAAGACATGGTATTGTTTATATTTCTGTATTTTCATTGACAACATCATCTACATGGTGAGCTTTTGCGTTGTAATCCACAATTTCTTTAAAAATATCTTTCAATGTTTGCCAGACAGGTTATTTACTTATATTTAAAACACTGATAATATTTCTGCATTAGCAGCACACTTATTCATTATCAAACAACTGTTAAAACATGTTCACCACGTCCGAACATCTGTATTAGCGGTAGTCTCCTCGTTACAAAATACGTCACTTTTAAAGCAAAAAAAAAAAAATTAACGGGGAAAAAATATCTTAAAGAAAATATATGATTAAATTCGGATGAAGTCAGGAAAAAAAAATGTCTTGTTAAAACCGGTAATTGCAATAAGAATGCAAAAACGTGTAGGGAAAAACGCATAACGTGTAGAAAAGAACGTAGAAAGTGTTCATTATGAAATCACTATTTCGGCGACGAATTTCATTTCTTTTATAATGATCATTACATAAGATAATAGGGAATCAAACTTTTCAAGCACTTCGCAAATTGTATTAAGTTATGAATATGAATATGAAAAAATGACTATTAGATACAAAAGATAATGTTATTAAATTAAATTATTTATGTTGTTCTCGGCAAATTACATGTACCAACTTAGACCTTAATCTTGTCTGCTAAATATTTTGTCTGTAATTAAAGAGTCAAATACTTGTTAGTTTGCTATTTTATCACTGTATTGTCTCATTCATTCATTCATTCATTCATTCATTCAAATCATTCATTCATTCATTCATTCACTTTGATTTTGATTCGCACACCATTGTGTTATATTTCGCCAACAGGAGATAAACCTTAAATTTTATTCTTTTTTTTTTCAGTCACATTGTTCATGACTTCATTACTGCCGGGTGTGAAAATTCATCGCATCGTACGTAAAAATCGTTGACGCATACAATAAACAAGGAAATCCGATTCTCTCATGGATTCTGGTGGAATTTTTATTGACCGTAAAATCAAGGGATTGCATCCTGTACTGATATAATACCGAATAATGCAAACAGTGTTGCAAAACTATTTTAAATTACATCCTCCGTGATTTAAAATAAATGATGTTTATTAACCTAGCTATGGTCACATCCGGTTCAAATGAGACAAAATATAATGCACTGACAGTGACAAGGTTATTTTTGTAATAGGCTCATAGCCAAAAAAATAAAGTACAGCTGAACTGGTTAAACTTCCGGCATTTTCAGTAATTTGTCTTGTCTATTTAATTAATTCATTATGGTTATAAAATTTGGTACAATCTTTTAGCATATAATGAACCAGGAACTGGAATATAGTTGCTCAAGACTTCCATTGTCTAAATTATATATTTTATCAAATAAAAGGTTTTGTTTTAATTCTTCCATATTAGATTTCATTCTCTCAATATTAACATTATTTTCGATTTTTAAGTATATAAGAAATATATTTTACTATTTCAACTGAGCTTGATTATCTGGAAAGAATACCGCTAACCAATTTTTATTTATTAAACTTCGCCCCGCGCACCCGCTAATTAGCGTGTTTTCATCCCGCGACCCCGCCATTTTAACTTTTTAATTCGACTTTTCGCTTGGCGGGGTCGCGGGGCAAAAACACGAATGGCACAAATCAGCCACCATATGAATGCATACGAAGACATATAGTTTATTTTTCTTCTTATTTATTACTAATCATTATCATTAATCTCTTAACTTTCTCTGTTGGTGAATCCATAAGTTTTCGTTTGATTGATAGTTTTCATGATATGGAAGCTTATTGTATTACATAGATACGGATCTTTTAAGTCGTGCTCTTCAAATTAACTGTATGGAAGTAAAAAGTACACTATGCATCAAATACCACACATGATTTTTTTATATCCTTTAACATCCGGGTTCCTCCGTAGAGGCAGAGGAAAGTGTCAACAATATTAAATTTATATTTTGAAGAAAAAAAGTTATGTCATCTCTTGTTCTGGTAATGGTAGTAATGGTTGTAACGAAAAGAAGAAATCGCCCTTGTATCTGGTGGTAAGTAATAGACTCATTTCCATCTAGCTGCATTCCATCTTATACATGTACACCAATCCATTTTCAGTTGAATATACGTTGTTTAATGACAAATTAGTCATATGAGCCGCGTCATGACAAAACCAACATAATGGGTTTGCGACCAGCTTGGATCCAGACCAGCCTGCGCATCCGCACAGTCTGATCAGGATCCATGCTGTTCACTTTCCGTTTCTCTACTTGTTATAGGGTTTGTAAGCGAACAGCATGGATCCTGATCAGACTGCGCGGATGCGCAGGCTGGTCTGGATCCATGCTGGTCGCAAACTCATTATGTTGGTTTTGTTATGGCGCGGCTCATATACATACTAATGCAAATATCAGAAAAAGACAAAGTTGCATGTGTGATAAAACTTTCCAAAAACATTAAAATTCGAACAAATACAAAACTTTACAGCAATTTTTTCACGCACTTTAATAATTTTAAATGTCTATTTCTTGGTGATTTTTTCCATATTCACTCAAACAAAAGTCCTTCATTTATTGAGAGTGAAACAAATTTTTTGATAAATTTACGGGAAAAATTAAAATAGTTCTTCTTTCTTTTACAGCTAATGTTTTGAACCCCCAGTTTCCTTTTTTTTTTAAAAGTTTTTTTTAATTTTAAACTGTCCCTTTGTCAATTTTTGCAAAAAAATTTTATCAAACAAACCCACATATTATAACTTTAGGCAGAATACATTACTTCTTTTGTAACGGGGTACACATTTCGTTATTAAAAAGTAATTTATGTTACATTTGAATAATGCATGCAAAGTGTCACTTGCTATATTTATATGAATACATGTTTTAACTATCAAAGTGAATATATATATAGTTGTTTTAGATGATATTTTGAAAATGAGCCGCGTCATGACAAAACCAATATAATGAGTTTGCGGCCAGCATGGATCCAGACCAGCCTGCACATCCGCGCAGTCTGATCAGGATCCATTGTTTTCGATCACAAACCCTATTACAAGTAGAGAAACTGATAGCGAACAGCATGGATCCTGATCAGACTGCGCAGATGTGCAGGCTGGTCTGGATCCATGCTGGTCCCAAACCAGCTAACACTATGTTGGTTTTGTCATGACTCGGCTCAAATATGTTTACTTATCTAGAGACGAGACGCTTTAAAAATTTTGTTTTTAAAAAGGCAAATGCATGGAAATAATCATACTTGACACTTTTAACGCTTTCACATATTTTTTAACGGAATTAGAATATTTGTACTGATCTTCGTAAAAAATAACCGAAATCGAATAGCAATTAAACAATCCTCGCGCTAGTATAGCGCTTCAAATGGAAATGAAGAAATCCAGCCTATAATTTAGATAATGCACGTTTTGTCTGGAAGTATATTCACCAGGACATTTATTTTATTTTTACAAAACAGTATACTACAGAAATATGTTATAAATAAACAAAACCAATGTAATGACGTGATTAGCACGAGGCAGAGTTCTGTTACAAATCAGTTCATTTATCTACGGGATCTTTGCATTCATTGTTTTTGTAGTGAATACCGGCTATCCATTGGTGATCCGCGAGGAATGATTCACACAGGAGCGGTGGTGGACAGCTACTAAATAAATACATATATTAGTTTAAAAGCGCAGCGTTCAATACATCACCGCATGTAAAAGTTAACAGACTAAGTGAACAGTGCTCTACTTTACAAATCACATAGATACTGTCTTTATATTTCACGTAATAACTATTAAGCTATAACGCGTTGCAAAAAGCGTGCATACTTTACGTAGGGAATACATATCATTAAGAATAATGCATGCACTGGATTTATTTGTTTTCTGTTTCTTTGCGGGAATACAGTTTCAGGGTATTCAAGGTAAGACTCAAATTATGATAAATAACATTTAATTATATCCAAAATATAAAAGCTATGTTTTATACATGTTATTCATGTAAGACGAACAATAAACGTCATGGTTACTAAAATCAGTATAAATCTATAAAGTACTTGTAGAATGTTTTACAGAGATATACGATTGTACAAGTGGTTATTGTTCACCCGCCAAATTCCTTGAATAAGATGCACTTAATAACTTCTTCTTACCATGCACGGGTAAAATAATGTTGAACGTGTGAATTTAGACCCCCGTTTTACTATAAGTAAGTATAGTATATATATTAACTTATTCACATAAAAATTCAAATAAGACAAAATGCTATATTAACTCACGGGGGTAAAGAATATATGCATGTACATATATACGTTTCTGTTTAACAAAAACTACTTTAAAACAAGACTCTTTCTCTGTAACTGTAAATTGTACTAAAAAACCTTAATTAAACCTTTATTACGTATTCTGATCGATTTATATAAATGAGGATATTGAATTTTAGTTCGTTTTTTAATTTCTTTTCCCCATTAAACCTATTAAAAAAGGGCCACTCCCCTTCATTATCCCTTTCATTTTACAATAAAAAAAACCAAAAAATTTCTTCCAAAAAATAACCTAGGAAAAAATGCTATTAAAAAGGGCGGGATTTTCCATTTTGATGTTAAAATTTATTGCCTCTTATAATACTAATACAATTAAGACCGCTCGTTGAGATTATTGGCAGTTTTATCATGGAAATATCTGTCCGATAAGCCCATTAGGCTTGGAAATAAATATATAACCCCTTGATACGAGATCTTTTATCTTCTGACACTGATACGCCAATAATGTCATAAAATGGTAATTAATTGTGTAATAATGTAAATATATGCCATGTAATTAACCAATAACAACCCAAAAAAAGGGGCAATTTAAAAGGTGAAACGAAATCATCAACTATTAAGTTACACAATATTACAGAAAAAACTGAAACGGACAAAACAAGTTTTTTAATTTAGGCCCTTTTCATTTAAATTTGCACAAACCCAAAAATTTTAAACCTTTTTATTTGTAATACAAAAAATCCAGATTTTCCTACACATATATTAACGACACGTCGTCGAAACGAAAGATCATTTATAACTTCTATCTATATTAAACTATAAGTTTTACACAAAAGGTTGCTTTTAAGTACATATCCCAGATTGTCATTGGCTATAAATATGTTTCTGATTTTCTAGACAGGGTTGTGGAGTGTTACCGCTGTTGCTGTAAAAACATTGAAGAATTAAACATTTAATTTAAAATCACATTTTCTCAGAAACAGCCTAACAGTTGGACTGGCTTGGAGAAATCTTCAAATTTTTGAGAATTTTCAGAACTTTTATGGAAATCTGCCAGGTACCAAATAACCCTAACTTACAACAATTGACATTTAATATCTGACTTTCAGTTTCGCATGCCACGTTATTTCATCTTCATGTTTTACATCCATTTCCGAAAATACCTTTTAAAAATGAGTCATATTTTGATAAAGATAGGGAATGACATGTCATAGTGTGATTTTAACAACCTTTAAATGTAAAACAAGGTAAACAATGAAATTAACGGTTTTGTAAGTAGTCATGTCATATAGATCTACGCTTTTCTCAATTAACTTTTATCTGTAGAACACGTGTTTGATCATTACAATGAAAACATGCAGATGAACTTATTAATGTATTTACACTGACCAGGGAAAGAAGCTTTAATTTAAGGACTAAGAAATCTGAGGATTCAGCGTAAGCCTAATGATTCATAAGAAAGATTTCACATTGCTGTTCATGCCATAATTTCTTTTTTATATTGCATTTTTGTTGATTGTAAATTTAAAATATTGTTTTAAGTCAGTCAGCTGCTGTAAAATTTAAAATTGTCAATAGAGAATCATTATAAGGAACTGTTTTCGACCCGGCCGGAAATAAACCACTTCACTTTATATCTTTTCTTCTTTTTTATGAATTTGTCTTGTGTCTAGGTTTTTTTACATCATGCTTTTCCGAATACAAAAAAAAAGACAAATATATAAACAACTTTGGCTATGATTTAAGTTGAAAAAAAAATCGCCATTAAGAAGATTTATAATTAAAATTGTCATGCGAACAATATATATTTTTTTCAGCACCATGCGATTTAATACATTTTTTTAATCTTACTTTAATCATAATTTATAATTCCTCTTTGAGTTTAACCAGACACACTACATCATGATAGACATCGGCATAATCAACAAAAATAAATATAGGATCTTCTCTAAATTTCTTTTATTTCGCTAATATGATGTTTTGATGATATCTTTAATAACAAAATCTTCATTCTCAGAACTTTGCAAAAAATATTTAATTTGACCTCCGAGGAATAGTGCGTTGTAAATTTCGCCAAAATATGATAGATTAGCTACAATATTTGTCTTATTGACTAACCTTCTGTAGCTACCTATTTTCAACAGATTCAATTTAGACACGAGACTTCTTGGAATCGAACAAGTTTGTTTATGAATATAAATCAATTAAGTCGCGGAGACGCTTGGATTCCTCTCGAGAGATTCACGCGCTTAGATGTATATACCGCGGCATCTTAATCAATTTCTACTGCTCAAAGTTGAATAGATTGTAAAATGTGATTATTTATTCCGCTGTAATTCGTTTGAGCCCCGTTTTTCCATATAAGTACCGGATGAAATACGCCAAATTATTTTTATTGCGTTTATTACATAACCCCTGACATTAATATAAGCTGCCTGCTAGAAACTAGCTATTTTATTACTTAATGATTCCCACGTGACCTTTTCTATGGTAAGAATCTTCTCAAACTTCAATGAAAGAAATGTTAAACTAATTATATGGGATCAGGTTTCCAATTTTGTATCCATAATAATATCTTAATTTGTAAATCACCGTTAAAATAATAGCTAAATAATTTATTATTGCATGAAATGAACAAACGTCGGTTGAAAATAAAATCATATTCAGAAATTTCCTGCTTTCCTGCTTTATTTTAACCATGAACCTGACAAAATTTGTCTTAAATTCATTTTGAAACAATTAAGGAATATCACCGCCAACATTATAGAGAATGCGCGGGCCTAATTCTTTGATTACAGCAATGTAAGATTGAATCTACTCGTAAAAATCAAAAAAAAATCTTGGTATTGTTTTACTATATTCTATATTATTACAATTTAAACGAAAAAAGCAGAAGAGAGTGCTCAAACACGAGTCTATCCTCACGGAAAAAAATGTAACCGTGCCCCATAAAAATTACTGATCGTGAAAATAACCAATACGTTACCATTTTCGGTTTTGTTAAAATATGTACATTTACATTTAACAGTATTTCTACCTTAATAAAGCCAACTCTTGAAACTTACAATTATTATTCTTTTTACCAACATATAAAAACTAACATTAGTTTTTTTCTGCCATTCAGTATATTTCCTTTGATATTATTCCTTCTTTTTTTATCCATTTTACTGTTTCACCCTGAAAAGATACGGGAATCCGCATTACGTAGGCTATTAAAATGGAATTTCTTTCATTACTTTATAGTACAAAATTTACAATTTATTAATATACTATAAGTTATAAGATGAAAGGGTCATTATATGCAGGTATACCTTGATCTAAGACAATGTTCGGTTCTAATGATTTTTCCTTAAGCACAGTCCGGGGTGAGAAAGCTTATGCTATAACGTTGTTATTTAAAAACATTTCTTTCAATGACTAAAACATAAACATTGTGAAACATAAAAATGATCTGAAAATGACATTTCTTACACAGGGGAATTTTCATGTTTCAAGAAATATCGAAGAAAGAGCAATAACTGTGGAGGATTAGTAAAAAGAAAGAATCTGCCTGACCCAGACACTTGTTGCTTAGATATAGGTCAAGGATTCTCCCTCCTAACATTGGTAAGATTATGAGTTTATAAAGTCCAGTAAAATTCAATTTTCAAGCATTACCTATTCGTTCTCATTTTGCAAATACATGTAGTCAAATATAAAGTATGTCCTTATTTCTTTTTAAGGTTTGACTACATTGTGCTTGTATATTGTCTGTGTATGTTTTATTACATGAATATACTCTGAAAAAAAGTAAACATATTAAATCATATGTAAGCACCAACCAGTTCTATTTGATACGAACAACTTCAATTCGAAAATGCTGGCTCAATTCAGATTATTTCACACCAATAATGGACTTTTTCTACAATTCTTCGCACTGATAGTAATAGTCGCATACATTTACAGGATATACAAGGAAAAAACAAATATACATGTGTATCTTGTGAAGACTGGGAGAGACAGAAAGGTGGCACGGAAACAACAACAGCAATAACACATCAAGGTAACTATGACATTTAGTCAAACCTTTCTACAAAATTTAATGCCAATAATTACATACGGATAATTTGATAACCTCTGTCTTAAATCAGATAGTCTTTAATACCAATTAGTAGGAACTAAATTATGGCCAGTAGAGGGAGTGTTGTAAACGTGCCAAGGTCTTTTACCTACTGGTTTTGATCTTCATGTACATGTAGATGGATAGTATTGTCTTCCTAGCAAATCATGTAAATGTGTAGTATTGTACGACACACAAGAGTGTAGATAACTTTTTTTACAAAGTGCTAACGGTATCTGCCTCTCAACGCAGGGACTGTAGGTTCAAACCCTATTGGACTAATGGCCTAGTTTTCTTGATATGAAACCAGTACTGAGTGCTGAGGGTTAAAGTGTCGTTCAATAAAAAGCTAAAGACATTCACAATTAATGATTAAGCTTAAGATTTATAAAATAGGTACTTTTAATCAACCACACCTTATTGTTGTTTCATTAAATAAATAGTTTTCCGTCCTATTGGAATTTCATAAAAAGCCACTGATATGTACGGTTCATTTAAGTAATTGTCAAAAGAAAAAGGAAATATTACATTACCAAATATATATCAGTCCAAATACATGCACGTTTTTAATATAAACATATACCTTATTTATTCAATTCTACAGAGGACTTTCATTGTTTCCGGAAGTACCGAAAGAAACATCAGCAATGCGGGGGACCAATCAAACAACACAAGATATCGACGGCGGAGGAGTGTTGTCTTGGCAAAGGAAAAGGCCTCACTACAACTGGATTGGTAAATTTTGAAAAAGTTGCATTAATTTAGAATGAAAACATTTATGCCGATTTTACTGTTTGAACACATATACATGTACATGGTAACTTTCAAAATAACTTCACATGATCGCATTTTTATGTACAAACTAGTTATTCAGTATAGAATCATCTAAATCTGAAACCATCTTCGAAATGTAATATAACATGTGTTGTTGAAATTCATGTACAAATTAAAGGAACACGGGAACGAGGCCGTTTTCATACTGCAAGACAAAAGTGGTTTTCAGTACGCATATAATTTGGTGACTTGATTTATTTTCAATGTTATAGTCAATTCTTTTTGCAGGACAAAGTAGGAAAGAATAAATACACGTGTATATCGTGTGAAGAATGGAGGAAATCACGTGAACAATCAACAACGGTTCCAACCACAACAACAGGTGAATAATAGTACTGAAATTTCATTGCATTTGTTGTAATACAGCAATTCTCATTTGGAAGACTATTTGTCTAAGTCTTCCTTTGGGAAGAATTGTTACTGTTACTGTAAAGAAGGTAACTGGTAAGCAGTTCTGCAGTACATTTGACTTTCATTAAACCGGAGGGTAACGGATAGTCAAATGTATATTTCAATAATGATGATTCTATACCGGTAAATGTTTAACAATTAATTGTAGCTTTGTACTATGTATTTGCTACGTTGCTATTATATGTGTGTTGATTGTTTGATATTTTGCTATTAGATGTTCGCTATGTTGCTATTAAATGTTTGTTTTGTTGCTGCTATTTGTTAGTTATGCTGCGCAAATAGGATTGTTATGTTGATATTATATATTTGTTATGCTGCTATTAGATGTTTGTTTTATGCTGCTTTTTGAATGTTTGTTATGTTACTGTTATTTTGTTAGTTATAATTTTGCGGTTCTATGTTTGTTAGGTTGCTTTTATATGTTAGTTTTTTTAGAAAATATGTTTGTTATGTTGCTATTATATGTTTGTAATGTTGAATTATATGGTTGTTATGTTGCTGTTATATGGTTTCTGTGTTGCTGTTATACATGTTTGTTATGCTTCTGTTGAATGTTTGTTATGTTGCATTGTATATTTGTTATGTCTCTGCTTTATATGCCTTTTATGTTGATATTATATGCTTGTTATTTTGCTATTATAGATAATTATGTTTTCTCTTTCAGAGAGAAAGTCCGATGAATGGGGTCCATGGGGTGATTGCAGCTCCACGTGTGGGACCGGATGGCGGTCACGATACCGACAGTGCAGTGACTGCGAGGAGACGCAGGGATTGAGCATGCAATCAGAACCATGCATCGTTCACTATTACTGTCCAGGTAATTCTCTTTGTACTTAAAATAAGTTGTTTTTTATATGCCCGAAAGAATTTCGGGCATATTATGTTATACCCCCTGGCGTCCGTCCGTCCGTCCGTCCGTCCGTTAGCAATTTGGTTTCCGGAGCATAACTTAAGTTCCATTTGGCCCACAGTATTCAAACTTCATAGGATGATTGTCCATATTGGGTAGAAGACCCCTATTGATTTTGGGGTCACAAGGTCAAAGGTCAAGGTCACTATGACCTTAAAGCTGAAAACAGTTTCCGGAGCATAACTTAAGTTCCATTTGGCCCACAGTGTTCAAACTTCATAGGATGATTGTCCATATTGGGTGGAAGACCCCTATTGATTTTGGGGTCAAAGGTCAAGGTCACTATGACCTTAAAACTGAAAACCGTTTCCGGAGGATAACTTAAGTTCCATTTGGCCCACAGTGTTCAAACTTCATAGGATGATTGTCCATATTGGGTTGAAGACCCCTATTGATTTTGGGGTCACAAGGTCAAAGGTCAAGGTCACTATTTCTTAGAAATTGAAAACAGTTTCTTTAGCATAACTTAAGTTCAATTTGGCCCACAATATTCAAACTTAATGGGATGATTGTCCATATTAGGTAAAAGACTCCTATTGATTTTGGGGTCACAAGGTCAAAGGTCAAGGTCACTATGACCTTAAAACTGAAAACAGTTGTCGGAACATAACTTAAGTTTTATTTGGCCCACTGTGTTTAAACTTCGTAGTATGATTGTCCATATTGGGTAGAAGACCCCTAATGATTTTGGGGTCACAAGGTCAAAGGTCAAGGTCACTATTACCTTAGAACTGAAAACAGTTTCCGGGGCATGACTTAAGTTCCATTTGGATCACAATATTGAAACTTAAAAGGAGGATTGTTTTGTGAAGGAGGTAAAACTTTATTTAATTCCCATGTCTTAGAAATGTTTCATCTTTACTAAAAAAAATCATTTTCGGGCATATAATGCTCCGCCTAGCGGTGCTCTTGTTTTTCAATTTCTATGAGAAAATATCTCTGCGGCTTGAAATATGAAGCAGACATTAAGTAACATTAATGTTAACGACGACTAGAGTAATTTACTCTTATTGTTGTTTTCTTTTAAAAAAAAGCTTAAGTGCAAAAGTTTCTACCATGTGAAAAAGACCGATGGCAGACATGCATTTTCCGTTGTTTTACACCAGTGTTTCGTGATAAACTTATTTCCAATACAGATAAATATTGTTTTTTCATGCAATAAATCTTGCATTTGTTTGACAATTTCCCACAATAAGGTCTTTCAGTTTTCCAAAAACACAGCGCTTAATTAAAACAGATGGGACAGTGATAACATCCAAGCGTCCGTTAACTAGATTTCCTTGCTAACTTCAATCATACAAACAAGCGATTGTATGAAATGACTTCAATGGGTTACAAACCATATGGGAATCGGTTTCATTAGCATCACCGATAATAGAAATTGTCGGCTGTCAGGAAAAAAATTGCGACTGCTCTTTTAACGCCTTATTTGCGAAATTTCCACTTTATATCAAGTGGATCTTACGCCCCGCGTTGTTAGAACTTGAATTATTTGTGTTTTTGTTGGATAGAATATTGACATTGAATTCGATGTCTTTATTTTTACATTCTTGTTAAGTATATAAAGAGTTCTCCTTTTGGAAAATGTTATAAAAGTTGACTTGTTGCTTTCAAAAAGCTCGGTTATTCCAAATAAAACGGGAAGTGATGCCTTTAAAACATGTTCTGGTTATTTCTGAAAACAGGTCAAAATCAGTAAAGAAAAAAGTCCAAACCTATGACTAAAAATTCTGAATAGGTTTTTTACCCATTTTCTTAACTATTCAATGTACATTGTATATTGTAAATTATGTCTTTGTTACATACTGTACATATCTGATATAAGTTTGGTCATTTTCAACTGAAAAAATACAGTCAACTTTCTTTATCCCGACATCACTTTTCTCGATAGTTTCGTTATCTCGAAATTCGTTATCTCGAAAATGTACATTAATTTGAATAATCGTATTACACACCTGACATTGCTCGAATGCTGGTGTCACGAATATGTATTAAAACTATATTCATATTTCTATTCTTAAAGAAAATATTTCCTTCTGTATATTTCCTTCAGATTTTGTACGCATCATTTTACTCTTTTTTTTAAGGTATATCACATAAGTGTGCTATTCTTGTAGATTGTATCGCTGTAGTCGACTGCTTATCGTTGCATTTGTGCTCGTGTAAATAATACTTTGCTCAATCAATGGCCGCAATCCATTAGAATAACGTATACTGTCGTAATATTCATAATTTACTCTCTACACAATTAAGTTTTTAATGCCTGCCACTAAACCGTTTCAGTTGTCACAATTCTCTGTTTTTACCCAAAATGCACTGTTCATTTTCTGTTATATATCTTGGAAACATGTACACTATTATAGTCGACGGTCACTGGGGAGAATGGATGACTTGGATGACGTGCACGGTATCGTGCGGGGTCGGAATCCGGCGGCGGGAGCGGTTCTGTAATAGGCCGAGACCAATGCACGGCGGTGAGAATTGTGAGGGGCCAATGTTGGACGAAGAATCGTGTAATGAGGAGCCATGTGCAGGTAACACTGAACTTAACGTATTAGTTATAAAGATTATTCACATGTTATATATGGCCCAGTATATATGGCTGTAAGCGTTTATGACTGCAAACAATCTATTTTATACGGTCATATAACCTGTCAAAAATCTTAGTATCCAAAATTATATATGACATTAGGCCAGTATGAATGAATTTTTCTTTCAGTTTCAATAAAGAAGATTTTTTATTTATTTGCTGTTGGTTTGATTTTTGTAGGTTATGGGGGAACAAAATTATTAACTACCCTAATAAACGGTAAAAGTTTTTATTATTTCATGTGTAAGTGTCTTATCTAATAAAGAAAAGTACAAGCATGGTATTTTCCCAAATTGCAATATTGACCATTATGGGGATCAGAAACATGAACACTTTTCTAAAAATTGACAGCATCCGTATACATGTACTATAAGATTTCTGGAAGGATAATACACGGAACGAGACTTTTTTGACCTGAATAATATCCGAGCGAGAGTTTATATAGATCTCAGAATGCTATTGTCCCATTTATCTCGTCAGCAATTTGTGATATTGCAAATTCCTTAAATTTACTATTTTAAATAACACCCTCCCTTTCTACCCCTCACAAAAAACAAAAAACAAACAAACAAAAACATACGGAGTTTGAATTGCGTTAAATTAAGCAATTTTTGTGTATTTTTATCGTACATCTCAATGGCAATTGTAAGATTTATGAAAAAATCGCACCTGAGTTTTATCTACTGTCAGGTAAAATTTATGCTGTTTATAAACGATTTGTGAGCATTAAATCTCATAACTTCAAACAAAAATGAATGAACTGATAATTTTCATACAGACATTTTTTAATGAACCGTATTATTTACTATGAGTTAACTTCACTGAAGTTTACGTGTATATAATTTTACGATATTACATAATCGAAAACATTCTTTCCTAATCATATTTTATGATAAACATACCTTGTAATGCTACATGTTATTGATTTAGATAGGATTTGTGGTTTTATATTAAATGTGTGTTAATACGTACATCTTGATCAATGTTGTTTTTTTTTAACTTCAGACAATAGGCATTTAAGTACTCTATTTTACCTATACGTATTTAAAAAACGTAATGATTCAGCAAAAAAAGAAAAGAAAAAGAAGTAAGCGCAAGTAATTGCCTACCTCATTATTAGAAAGTATTAGCCAGGGTTCTATGATATCACGATACTTAAAGTTTATTTGAAAATATCTAAATTTAAAAAACGTTGAATTTATATCCCCCGCCGAATACTTGTTATTGATGTAAAGTTTTGTTTGTTTTATTTCGTCTGCGTCTTTTGATTTATTTTGTCTGCGTCTTTTGATTTAGCATAATATCTTTAAAAAGTTGATGGAAACTGGGGCCTGTGGACACGATTTGGTATGTGTTCACGAACATGTGGGCGTGGCGATATGACAAGAACTAGAGAATGTAACAGCCCCGCCCCTGCTGGTGGTGGCAGACCATGCCGAGGGAGGAGCGTTGATACAAGGCGTTGTGAAAGACGGAAATGTGCAAGTAAGAATAAAAGCATTTCATTTTCATTTATATAAAATTAATGTCCAATTTTTTTTTGCCTAAATTATAAAATGGAAAGCATGCAGCAACGAAAAGAGATCTGGATTGCAAGTAAAGGCAAACAAAAGAAACGTTTATTATATACATATAAATGAAATAATTATTGTGAAATAGAATACAATAATACAATAAGATGCATATTTCCCCCTCCCCCGTATTTTCACTGAAAAAAGTATGTTTCGCTGCAGTGAAACATATTTTTTTTATTTTCACTACTTTCTGCATGTGCGGTTCAGCCAATACACAAAGTTAAAGGGGATGATTTTGGTGTCATAAGGTCAAAAAAGTAAAAATAACTTTATGAATTCAAGATTTCAGGTTCATGAATTTCCGATATCAAATTCACGATTTCAGCTTTATCAATTTAACTTCATAAATTCATGTTTTGAACTGCACGATTTCAACTTCATGCATCTTCACGAAGTTCAAATCGCGAATTTGCGGAAGTTTGCGGAAGTTGAAAACGTGAATTCATTAAATTGAATTCGTGAAGTTGAAATCGTGAATTAGTGAATTCTGTATTTGAAAGAATCCTTGAAGATGAGCGTTGAAATGTAAACCACCGGCATTTCGTAAAAAAGAAAAAAGTAAATAAAAGAACCTTTTATTATACAGGAAACAATTGAAATTTATCTTGTTTAAGTCATGGCTAACGCCACTCATGAAATATTTATTTTCAAACCACTCAATGAATATCAGCTTTGTATTTATAGAAAAAATGAATATCCTCTATATTAATGCAGTACATGGTACCCACAAAGTATAGCTGGCTTCTAGTCTTAATATTTCTGTAAAAAATAACGCATATAATATTCAATCTTAAAATTACGTTTTTTCAAATCTTTGCATTTTGTTACCGACACTGTCATATTCAAACACATCGCAATCTTCTGGCTCTACCGATGTCGCAAGAGTTGAATTTTAGATATTTCATATATAGATACAAGTAAATGTCAATTATTAACCTATGTTTCATTCTTATTTCAAGCTTATAATTTGAGCCGCGTCATGACAAAACCAACATAGTGCGTTTGCGACCAGCATGGATCCAGACCAGCCTGCGCATCCACGCAGTCTGATCAGGATCCATGCTGTTCGCTTACCAACTCTACAAGTAGAGAAACTGATAGCGAACAGCATGGATCCTGATCAGACTGCGCGGCAGGCTGGTCTGGATCCATGCTGGTCGCAAACCCATTATGTTGGATTTGTCGTGACGCGTCTCATTTATACTTTTTCTCAGTTCACGGAGGGTGGTCAACGTGGGAAGGGTGGAGCAGTTGTCCGGTCACATGCGGCTCCGGTGCACGTACTCGAACACGTGCGTGTAATAGACCGATACCTAGATTTGGTGGACGTCACTGTGATGGATCAGAATTAGATACAGATATCTGTGATATTGGAACACCATGTCCAGGTAAAAGAAATGCTCAGTATATTAACAATTCCACAGATAGATACCACTTTTATCCTACATTGTCCGCCGAGGCTGAAACCAGGGCTTCAATTAAATGGTGATCTTGCAAGCTGTATACATGAAATTGTAAATATTAGATTTTAAGTTTAGCTTTGTCTTCATATGATTAGTTTAGCTTTTACTTCATATTAAATATAATATGTTTGTTGTTGTTGTTGTTTTCAGTGGATGGAGGTTGGTCAGAATGGTCAGATTTCGGAAGTTGTCGAGCCGGACCTTGTCAATATGGTCATCGTATAAAGACACGAGTTTGTGATAATCCTAGACCTCAACATAGAGGGCGCATGTGTCGAGGCCGCAGCGTAGAACGTGTTTCTTGCAAGAACGAGCATGGATGTCCGGGTTAGTATTAAGGTGATTCCGCTTTGTCAGCCATGTTTGTTTTCAAAAAGTCTGTCCAAAGTGAAAGTAGGCCAAAATTCATATAACAACAAAGCTCACATTGTTATATGATGAGCCATTTGCAAGTACACTTCTAGGATTATATTTTAAGGACAATTATAAACAAAAATAAAAATGATAACAATAAGAATATTTACCTTGAATGGGCTACATTTCTGAAGACCAAAATCATTCTGTTGCAAAGTTTTATGCACATTTCATGAATGGCAAAATCTTTTTTAAAGTCTGTTTTAGTGCCTACAAAAGCTTTTTTTTTGCAGCAAATACAAAAATCTTTCCAAACTTAACGCCAAATAAATCCGTATCTCATGTCCTTCTAAGCACATGGCCTCCATTATTTTTTGTAAAAAAGTAGTGCAAGAAATAAATCATCATTTATAGCCTTATGAACTACAATTAAAATGAAAACACAATCAAACTTTAAAATCTAACCTTTTTATGTGTAACAGTGAAGTGTGTCTGTTTGTCATGTACACAAGAAATAGGTAAATGATGTTTATTTTCATGGTACTACTTTTTTACACATGTCATGGTGGCCATGTTTTTTCAAGGTCAGATAAACTACTTTCCTAAGATTTATGTTTTTTAAAGTTTTTTTGTATTTTCTGCAAAAAATAGCTTTTGTAGGCACTAAAACAGACTTTAAAAAGGATTTTGCCATTCATGAAATGTGCATAAAAATTTGCAACAGAATGTTTTTGGTCTTCAGAAATTTAGCCCATTCAAGGTAAATTTTCTTATTATTATCATTTTTATTTTTGTTTAAAATAGTCTTTAAAACATATAACAGGAAGTGTACTTGCAAATGGCTCATCTTATAACAATGTGAGCTTTGTTGTCATATGAATTTTGGCCTACTTTCACTTTGGACAGACTTTGTGAAAACAAACATGGCTGACAAAGCGAAATCACCTTAATTTAACGTGTTCAATGACAATAAAAGGTGTTTATGTAGACATTTACATTTGTAATTGTAATGTATATATCATCATTAAGAAAAATTGAGACAGAAATTATTTTACATCATCAGCATCATCATCATCATCATCATCATAAGCAACAACAACGCCACTGCTTCTGCTGACATTCTTCAAATGTCTTAAAACCCTGTGATAATGTTTCTATATGAATGATGAATATCATCATCATCATCATCATCATTATCATCATCATCATCAGTCTCATCATCGTAATCATTTTTATATGCCCGAAAGGGCATATTATGTTATACCCCCTGGCGTCCGTCCGTCCGTCCGTTAGCAATTTGGTTTCCGGAGCATAACTTAAGTTCCATTTGGCCCACAATGTTCAAACTTCATAGGATGATTGTCTATATTGAGTAGAAGACCCCTATTGATTTTGGGGTCAAACGGTCAAAGGTAAAGGTCACTATTACCTTAAAACTGAAAACAGGTCCGTCCGTTAGCAATTTGGTTTCCGGAGCATAACTTAAGTTCCATTTGGCCCACAATGTTTAAACTTCATAGGATGAATGTCTATATTAGGTAGAAGACCCCTATTGATTTTGGGGTCAAACGGTCAAAGGTAAAGGTCACTATTACCTTAAAACTGAAAACAGGTCCTCCCGTTAGCATTTTGGTTTCCGGAGCATAACTTAAGTTCCATTTGTTCCAAAATGTTCAAACTTCATAGGATGATTGTCTATATTGGGTAGAAGACTCCTATTGATTTTGGGGTCAAAAGGTCAAAGGTCAAGGTCACTATTACCTTAAAACTGAAAACAGGTCCGTCCGTTAGCAATTTGGTTTACGGAGCATAACTTTAGTTCCGTTTGGCCCACAATGTTCAAACTTCATAGGATGATTGTCAATATTGGGTAGAAGACCCCTATTGATTTTGGGGTCAAAAGGTCAAAGGTCAAGGTCACTAATACCTTAAAACTGAAAACAGTTTCCGGAGCATAACTTAAGTTCCATTTGACCCACAATGTTCAACCTTCATAGGATGATTGTCCATATTGGGTAAAAGACCCCTATTGATTTTGGGGTCACAAGGTCAATGGTCAAGGTCACTATTACCTTGATACTGAAAACAGTTTCCTGGAGCATAACTTAAGTTCCATTTGGCCCACAATATTCAAATTTCATGGGATTATTGTCCATAATGGGTAGAAGACCCCTATTGATTTTGGGGTCAAAGGTCAAGGTCACTTTTACCTTAAAATTGAAAACAGTTTCCGGAGCATAACTTAAGTTCCATTTGACCCACAATATTCAAACTTCATAGAATGATTGTCCATATTAGGTAGGAGACCCCTATTGATTTTGGGGTCACAATGTCAAAGGTCAAGGTCACTATTACCTTGATACTGAAAACAGTTTCTGGAGCATAACTTAAGTTCCATTTGGCCCACAATATTCAAACTTCATGGGATTATTGTCCATAATGGGTAGAAGACCCCTATTGATTTTGGGGTCAAAAGGTCAAGGTCACAATTACCTTAAAACCAAAAAAGTTTCGGAAGCATAATGTATGTTCCATGTGGCCCACTATATTCAAACTTCTTAGGATGATTGTCCATATTTGGTAGAAGACCCCTATTGATTTTGGGGTCACAAAGTCAAAAGTCAAGGTCACTATTACCTTAAAATTGAAACCGTTTCCGGAGCATAAGTAAAGTTCCATTGGCCCACAATATTCAAACTTCATGGTATTATTGTCCATATTAGGTAGAAGACCCCTATTGATTTTGGGGTCACAAGGTCAAAGGTTAAGGTCATTATTTATAACTTAAGTATTAACCAACCTACAGCTGTAAAATTTTATAGGATGAACAGCTTATTCCCATTTCTTACAAATGCTTCATCCTTACTAAAAAAAAAACAACAACACTTTCGGGCATATAATGCTCCGCCTAGCGGTGCTCTTGTTTTTCATTATCATAAGTATCGCTTCACATATGAACTGTGTATAAACGTAATCATGGATAATATTTCTGCTGTATATTTACTTAAAGTTGATGGTGCTTGGTGTGATTTTGGTCTATGGTCTCCGTGCAGCGCCACCTGTTTAGGTTATACATCGACACAAACACGCTCACGTGCATGCCATTGTCCGGCGTCTAAAAATGGCGGCAAAACATGCAAAGGTAAACTTTCATTAATAATGATGAAAATGATATAAACACTATTTGTTAAAGAACTAAATAATGTACATATACATTAATAATGAAAATGTACGTAAAATACATTTCTTTGATTCATAATTATAAAGTTTTAAGTTTGATTTTTATTTATTAAGTTGACTATATCTAAAGAACTAAATAATACAAGAATGTATAGATAATTTTTATTGTCTTTACATATAACTGATCTTTTCCCGTAAGTCAGCAATATTCGTGCATTGGGTCATTTTTATATAATTTAAAGTATCATATGAAAATACGCAAAAACAAAATAATATCAGCCAATGCTATCCGCATGTACATGCTAACCGTATAATATAAATTATGTCCTTTACATATCGAATCATTAAAGTGGACATGTCCTCTACGGGCATTTATTCATATGTATTTCAATAATTCATAAAAACTAAAAACAATTGAAATTTAACAATTGGATATTGTAATAAAATATTGCTTGCAGAAAAAATATGTTGATGATGTACATGTATTATGAACATTTATTGTATTACAAACCTTCCAGTACAGACCAGTCAGTTAACTTTAAATTCAAGCTGAGTATACATGCATATCGCATGTAATAATCAAAGTGCTGCAGCACTGAATGCGACGGACATGCAACCGGAGAGACATTAAGGCTTCTTTTAGAAAAAAACAAAACAAAACAAAAACAAAACACAAAATATATAACAGAGAAAATTTGTTCCATACAAGTTCGAGATTTGTAGAGCAATATATTTTGTGTCCCAAATTGATATAATTCAGATTTTCTACTTTCAAGCACTTAAATACAGAATGAAATTTATGCCTAAAAACTCTGGTCAAACTTGTAACGAAATATTTCTAGAATAAATGCAGGCAAATAAACTTCAAACATAATACATTATACATTTGAGAATGCTATTTAGAATTGATTCGTGTTATATCATAGTGGGCATACAGACAATAAAATATAAGTCATTTGTATTTTTATTTCTCTTGGATATGTCTCATTAAAAAAAATGGTTAAAATCATCAGCAATTAATAGTGTATTTCTTAGATTTTTTTTATTTACAAAGTAAAGATGTAGAGGCTAGAGCACATCGTTTTTATTTTAATTTAAATGTCACTTATGCACTACAGTGTTTAGTTGTCCTTTTCAACTTCACACTAAATTCCATTTTCAACTTGTTTGCTTCTTACAATGTGTATAGCATTTCTAAAAGTATTGCATGTAATCCGCTGGTTTATTAATTACATGTTTAATGTGTACTTCCTAATCGCCTGTCCAAAATTCAGAACAGGTGAAGCAGAATCTATTTTTAGAATAGCGAAGGTTAACTCATATCATGACCTAGTAAAATATGTAAACAAACCACAAGAATCGGAAGTAGAACTGATATTATAACTTCCTTACCATGAAAGACTACATGGCGGTAAAGTGTCTTACATGCATTTTCAAAAATAGATATTTACATTAACCATTGTACTGTATCTAATATATTAATAACTGCTGAATATTCAGCTAAACCCGCGGTATGAGTCACGAAAATAGTTCTTCTTTTATTAATGCGCGAGTTATCCTAGAGTCACGAAAAACTTTTGATTTGTTAATAATAATGTTTTGTATAATGTAGAAATATTTATTTCCTACTAATAATGTCTTTGAACTCAGAGGTTACACCTTTATTGTAGTATAATTTGCTGTCCTACTTTTTCGACAGCGGTAAATCGTTTCAGCAGTAATTTGCATATTGCGCAATAATACTACGGGACTACAACGTTTTTATCAATAATATACGTTCATATTTTAACTTGGATAACTTAATTTGAAATTGAAAAGGCTAAATATGGAAGACATTAAGATATCCAGACAAAGTATGGGAGTTTTGAAGGATCAAATTCATGTACTATTTCTTGGGCTGTTAATTGGTTTAGGACACATTGCGCGAGTGTAGCCAACGAAATCCCATGTGTAGATGACTTAGCTCTGAACGCGCCTGAGGGCGCGTCCGTCGCAAAAATATAATTTTAAACAAAGCTTTTATGCACCAGACTATCTTTCTACTACCCACGAGACAGTTCTGAGGACAAAGGGTAAACAAGTCTGGTTTTAACCTCCCGAGGCCTCTGACTGTAAGTACAATGCGATGTTTTAACCTAGGCTTCTTAATCGTAATAAATCACCATTATTAGTGTTGGTTTAATTGGCTGAAACATAAATCTAAGGAAGTAATAATAATAATTATAATTTACAATGGTTGCGTATTTTTGTTGATTGACAGGTGATTACTTTGAAACCAGGGAGTGTTCTGGTGTTGTACCATGCCCAGAGTCACCAACAGTAGACATTGATGGTTGAAAACCAGGGTCCAGACCGTTAGTCATTTTCAACATACAGCAGACGACAGGAAAATGATTCAATAGTTTGAAGAGGACTGTGCTTTGATTAAGGGCAGACATCCTTATTTAAAATGATTTCTGTATCGTTGTTGTTATTATTTTACTTATTTATTAAAGCAGCACGCCTCCAGATTCATGTTAATTTTCATGAAAATTTTGGAAATGTATCTAAAAGTAAAATATTGTGAGATGAATAAAGCAATTTCCATATTGCAATTTGCACTTACAATCCAAGAAAATTACCAAATAGTGGTCAACATATGCAAAAACAGCCTTTCAAAAATGCAGTCGTATGTACAATCTACAGAAAAATATTGTGACTTGATTGTTAAATTTTCTTAACTGGTTCTGTTACAGTTGTTTTAATAGAGAACACGAGGTCATGTTACTTCTATGCTTACTTCATCTAGACCAATAATAATGCATCGTTAGTCAGCAGGCGAAATAAGTTAGTTTGCAAATTTGCACGATCCGCCTTAAATATAATATTGTACATTTAAAAGTTGGAAAATTATAGTCCAAAAAAGCATCCGTTGCACAAAAAAAAAATATTTAAGGGTTGAAAGTGAATTGTTAGTGTCGTCTGCATTTACCCGCCATTTTATGATAAATCTTCCACTCGATCCGTTACTTATTTCTTTTTTAATGGAATTTACTTGTTAATTTTTTTATCATATACGATTTTGTAAATTTAAAACACAAAATGCATATTTTTATTTTTAATATTACTATTTGCCTCATTTTAGAGGGAAAAACGTGTAAATTGTAAAATCATTGTGCATTTTAAATGTTCTTTATAATTTGGCAATGTAGCTTAGGCCAGTACAGATGTAGCTGTTGTTTTTTGTTGTGGGTTTGCTTTTTATAATCTTAAAATATCAATAGCGAACTAAAGAAAAAACGTTTGGTATTTTATTTGTAAAAAGTTTTTTTTTTTTTAACTTTTCTTGAAGTCAGTGGCATTTTTAGAATTTCATGCGTAAAAATGCTGTACTAGTATTTTTCATTTTATTCTATTCCTGTTTTTCATGTGTTCTAAAATAACAATGAATGTATATACCTTTTTAGTGTTTATTTTTCACATATTTCTTTACATCGATTTATAATTCATTTTTATTAGATCAATTGCTTTTCTTCACATTGTTAAATATCTTACTATTGATAATAAAATACATTGAATACTTCTGTTTTTATCATTTTTATAATTTTTTAATTAGATCTATCATACTTAAAAAAACAATGTTCAAAATTACAAAGTCGTTTTCTCAGTGTACCTATAATACCCAAGTAAAATCTGCTTTGGACTTTATAAAATGCTGTCAGCCATCGTCAGTTAGTGCAGAATCTAAAACATAATTGAGCCGCGTCACGACAAAACCAACGTAATGCGTTTGCGACCAGTATGGATCCAGACCAGCCTGCGCATCCGCGCAGTCTGATCAGGATCCATGCTGTTCGCTATAAGTTTCTCTATTTAAATAGGGTTTGTAAGCGAACAGCATGGATCCTGATCCGACTGCGCGGATGCGCAGGCTGGTCTGGATCCATGCTGGTCGCAAACGCACTATGTTGGTTGTGTCGTGACGCGGCTCAATTAATCAAGTGTTTATCACAGTTTGTAATAAATTAAAAGCTGGTCAAGATATAAAAGCTGGTCAAGGTCGTTTAGGACATTCTTTAATAAGATTAAACTGTTCCAATGCCTAGTCATCCCTAATGTCACTGTATATTGAAAACTTGTTACTGATCTTTGCTATGTTTCCAAATAAGCGTTCTCTTTCATTCATGCTTTGTACAATACTCATAGTTTTCCGAGTCGAACGCAATAGAAAAAGAATGATGACACTGTATTAAGTATTAATTTAACAAACATATATGTATCAGGACTAATGAATCTTTATCATGCAAATTGGGCAGACATGACCAACTAACATTGTTTAGCTAGATATATCCATCATTAAAGGGACTCCACTGAGGTTTGAAAACCTAAATACATAGCATTTGAATTTCTTACATAAATCAGCTAAAGCACTTTAAACAGAAATATATGCAAAGATAGTTAAGAAATATACTTTGAAATAAATTGAAAATCGTATTTTTATGCTTTTCTTAGCCCGATTTTAGTGAAAAGCGTTTAAACGCTTTTCATTTTGGGTCATTTTTTTACAATTTGAATAATTATCCTGGAAAAAACGAAGTGTGCGAATGATCTGAAATTTTTAGTGGTCTAAACTTACATCAAATGGTACATTTATCTGGAAAAAATATTTTGAGTCCTATCATGTCAAAAAACCTCAGTGGAGTTCCTTTAAAATTAGGAGATATGAAGACGTGAATTGAATAGTCAGTCAATATCGTTCAAAGTGTCTGGGACTAATGTTATTGTTAATGCGAAGTGTTTTCAGTGAAAAAGTCGAGGTATGATCACCAAGAACAATTTGAATATCCACACACACGTTTATGGTCAAACGTGGACAGGAAACAAAGAAATCGTTCTAAACATTTTATAGTAAACTTGTGTTTCAACACTCTTTGTGTATTCTTCCAGTAAAATATTCATATCGTATCACGTGATTCAGAAATCTTAGATAGTTCAAGCAACATTATTATTGTGACATCCACCTTACGTTTAAAATTTTTGCCTAATGCAAAACAAATAATAATACAAATATTTTGTAAATATCATATATACATGTACATATTTTTTTTCTATTAATACAAAATATTGTACTAGTAAAAATCACAAAGTTACGTTTATGTATACTTATCTAAATTAGGTTGCCTTATCAGAGTAAGTGAATGAATTCGTTGATGATTTCGTCTTTATATTCCTATCTTATGAAAGTAAGACAATGGGACCAAGTAAGACGAAAAGCTTCTTTCTTCTGTTACTTATAATACCATTTTCTTATTGCTATGTCGATTCCGTGACCTTGACATTGATTCAAAGGATGGAAATCCTAGAAACGAGAGGTATGTTGACACGTTTCAGCTTTATTTTCTTTCATCTTAGAAGAACATTTGTCACTGTTGTGTTTGATTTGTTAACATATTGAGTGTCAGATTTTAATTAAACTATATGGTTTAATTGAAAGGAGGATTAAAATATAACTATAATCAAGTACAACATCATCAATAGCAACCATAAATTACCAAAATGTTTGTGACATACGTTGATCACTAAGCAACAATTTTGTTAATGAAATACTGCCTTAAATTTTAACAAATTATTATTAAAGCGACTTACTCCTGGTGAAGTTCAGTATATACAATTTTCACTTAAGGTTACATGAACAAGCAATTGTGAATGGCAGCAGTGGCTTAAGGGTTAAGGTGTCTGCCTCTCAACCAAGGGATCATGGGTTCGAGCCCTACTCGGGTAACGATCATGATTTCTCATATAGCACTATTACTGGTTAGTTCCAGGAAGCGGACTCAAATGTGCTTAATATAAGTTGCAAGAACTTGTTTAGCAATCGAGCCACAATAAATTTGCTTAAACTAAGAAACTTTGGTAAACAGCTAAACAATTTACCTATCTTTAATAGAGGATTTTATGCCTTACATTTTAGACAAAGAAAAAACCATAGTAATTGAGCGATTGACTAAACAACTTGGGTACCAGGAAGAAAATATGAAAGTCATGAAACTCACTATTGAAAACCTCACGAAAGACGTAGCTAAACTTTCCAGTACTTGGCAAGAAAATGACGAAAGATTTCCAAAACTTCATCATAATCTGAGTAAATTGTAAGAAGAAAGCAATCGACTTCAGGTACCAAATAATCATCCGGAAAAAATGTTGTTACAAGCTGCCATAGACATATCTGAAACAATCGTCAATCAGGCAAATGACTTGCATGTTTACGTATATAAAACACAACCAAAGAATAAGACAATGGAAGCCAAGAAATCTAAATAGAGCAAACAAGTGGTCAATGGCGTATCAATTCCTATCAAGGATAAGAAACATCTAAAAAGTAGTAAGGAACGTTTAGTAGCAAATATAGAGGGTCCAGTAGCATTTCACGCGGTGTCTGATAGGGGAGTGATAAATCATCTAGGAACAGATGAAAACATAAAATTTGAGACAATTTTACTGAACGTTGGCGGAGGATACCACAATCAACATGGGTTATTCATTGCACCAAAAGCTGGAATATATCTATTTTCTATCTCAGTTCTTTCCGCTGATGCAATGATGCATGCCCAGATAACAAAAAACGGCACTCCCCTTGCAAAAGCTTATGGTATAGGAAATTCAGCAATTCACGAACAAGGTTCTGTTACAGTGTCAACACAACTGAATAGTGGTGATGAAGTTTGGGTCAAACATATTTATCCTGCAGATGGTAACATATGGGGCGAACGGTTCACAAGTTTTACAGGCGTCTTGATATCAAACATTTAAATATTACTTTTTTCAAATAATTTATTATGAAATATCAAAACCCAACACTGACAACTTTAACGAATAAATATAATTTGAGCTTTGAAGCGATAACAATTTACAAACAATTTTCTTATTCAGATCTTTAAAAAAATGTTTTAATTACGAATAATTTATTTAGAAAGTTCATATATAAAAAAGAGTATCACAAACCCGTGTCGCCATATGTGCTCTGATGTGCTGAAATCTGCTGTAAATGGTGTAAAGTACAATCTTCCACAAAACCGACATAAAAATCATATTCCGTTATACTTGTATAAACTACAATTGATTTGCCGGTAAAATGGTGCCAAAAACAATCGTCCCAGATACTAGTTCTAGATTCAATCGTACTTAATAATGGTTTCAGGAAATAAAATAGATCATTAGATCTAATTGAACTGCTTTTATAAACATTAAGGCGCTCAAGCATTTTAATATTTGACATTTTAAAACAGATTTAAAGTTAGAAAGGAATTTCTTTTGTAAGCAATGGAAACAAACACGGTGAAAATTGCAAACTCGGTTTTATTAAGTCTTTTCATAACAGAGTGGGAAAATTTATAGCGCAATGTCTTGCAAGCTTCCTAGCACAGGTTCAATCAATACTCAATCCTCAGAACTAATAGTATATCTAAAAGTATTTCAATGAATGATCCCAAATGACCAGACACTTAGATTATGGAAATGTCAGTTTTTATTAGTTGCTACAGAGCATATGCTTCTGCTTGAGGGCCAAATACTAAAATAGTTAATAATTATAGACTCGGTTGCATTGTGTATAGGATTTTATTCATATAAGACAATGGAAAGTGCAGCATTTCTCATGCCCATTACCACCGTCTAAAATTGCATACCTGTTCCTGGGAGAGTGCTGAAACTATTAAAGATACTGACAAAATGAACAACAAAATTATCTTAGTTAAAACATTGCAAATAACATAAAAATTAAAAAAAAACAGTAATCGTAGCATTGTCTCATTATTTGTAAGGTAGAACTATAATGACACATGGAAAGTATTATTTATAATGTTAAAAGACAGGTTGTTTTCTATAAGAAAGAAATAGGTTGTTCTTTAACGCGTTCAGGAAGGTAGTTCTTTAACGCCATCAGATAATCATGAATCCTTACAAGGCTTGTATATATTCATTTATACATCAGAACATTTTCGCAGAAAAATCCAAGTGTCGATTTTCCAGTACATTTACTACACGGGGATGGAACCCCATATGGTTCTCAAAATTGAGCAGCGGTAAAAACTATATGTGAATTTCCCCTGCTCCAGATGTGCAGTATAACTCGATATGTAAATGAGAAAATATACCAATCACAGGGTAAGTTTTCAATATTTTGAATACTTATATAAAATTCAAAGCTTTTATTTAAAAAATTCGAAATGTGATCCTAACCTCCTGGCTTTCCTTCATTTTCATGCAGTCTTCATTGAGATATTCTTTCCGTCGTGGGTTCAGGTGTGCCCAAAATATGCAATGCGTATTAAGAAAATGTCGCTAAACGGACTCCAAATACATAGTTTTCACAAAATCTTACCACCAAACGATTGTTAATATTTAAACAAACCCTTATTGAAACATTTATTGACATTGGGCTAAAAATAAAGGAATTGCCGGTCAAAATTCAGTTGAGCTTCATATGCGCTGAAGAGATCCATAGGTGATATAGGAAACATCTACATAACTAAGGATCACTTTCATATTGTACATGACATGCTTCCCATCTTGCAAACTCACAAATTGGTCAATATTATTGAAGTAAAAGCGAAACAATGTTTGATATGAAAGGATTAGATCAATGCGATCAGCATCACAAACTTCTAGAATTCTTCTGTGAAGATGAAGACCAGCTTTGCTTCAGTACTTGTGCTATTGTTGATCATCGTAAATGTCATAATGTTGTAGAAGTACAGAAGATCGCCGGAAAGTTTACCTCTCAAGGTTCAAGCTTAAAGGGAGAATGGCAAGAAGCAAAGGAGAATGCTGAGTATCTTGTAAAATCCATTATCTCGTCAAAAGGGCAAGTTCAACTTGATGCTAAAAAAATACCCGGAACGATAAGGCAAATGAGAGACAAAGTTATTGAAAAGTTCGAAGATTCGGAGTCTTCTGTTGTTAAGGAGGTTGAGGATTTGAAGACAGAGACTATTGCAGAACTTAATAAGAAGCAAACAAAGAATGAGGGATACGTAGTTGACGCAACATAAAACCTTGAAATCATTAATAACGTATATAAAAATAGTACATCGGTCCAGCAATTTATCATAGAAAAGAAAATTCAGCATGATGCGAAAAATCTCTTCAACAAAGTCAATGCAGAATATCAGAACTTAGAGACCGTGGTTATTTCTTTCAACTTTGATCACACACTAAATATGCACCTACTACCGCTTTCTGACTATGTACCAGGTCAACTCACATTGAATTAGAAGCTAAAATGAAGCTTGTACCAGTTATTTCCATAGATATAGAACAAAATGAGGATGAAGCTAAGGGACCATTGTATACAGGATTAGATTTTCTACCCGATGGAAGACTGGTTGCCGTGGATAATTACAACAAGAAATGCTTAGGGTACAATGAGGAGCTTGAGAAATTAGGATCATATCACTTATCGTATCATCCTAAGTGTGTTGTTGCTGTTACTGAAGATATTGTGGCAATAACAAGCGGCGATTGTTACAAAATAGATTTTTTGAAAGTAAGTGAAGAAAATGAAATAACTTTAGACAAAACTTGTAAAGTGAACACAATGTATTACTCTATATGTCTAAAGGACAAAAATCACTTTATTGCAGGAACTTTGAATGATCTAAGGCATGTTCGCATCGTATCCCTTTTGGGTGAAGAAAAAGACTTAGATATTACATTTCCGAACAAAATGTTTTCTTTAAACGCAAGTGCTTGTACGTTTATAGAAAATTGCAACAAGATTGTTATTACAGAGAGATATGGAAATACTGTCAACATATATGATATCAAGACAAACATGAGAGTAGTGGTGAAGGATGATCAGATACAGAAACCAGGTGGTGTAGCGACTGGCCCTTCTGACACTTTCCTGGTTTGCTGTGGAGGAACACATGGCATTGTTCAAATATCTCCAACAGGCCAAATCTTATCATCGCACAAGATAGGTATGGAGTTGCCCCGGCAAATCTGTTTCTCAAGATCTCACTCGTTTGTTGTTATTACAAGTGATAAAAAACTGCAAAAATTCATAATTAATTAATATCATATCATAATAACCAAGTTCGCAAAATTGGCACTTGTAAACATAAAAAATACAAAACGTTGGAAATTAAATGTGAATACGTGATACCTTTCACCATTATGTTTTCTCATTGTTGTATTGTAGTAGCTAAATTTAAAATCATTGCATATAACAGAGACGGTGCACTGAAGATTACGTCATAGTGTTGTTCTTGTTGTTAGTTTAAGCATATTTTATATCTCAGAATATATTCATGACTGTTTCAATTTGCAATGTACACAAAGCATTTCAAATATTCTTCAAAGAAAACAGGATAAGAATGAAAGAAAAGTGTCTTATGAAATTCTTCTTCTTCTTGTTTATCCATACATTTAAAGAAATTTTTGAGACATCCACAGCTTTCAAAACAGAAAACTTTTCTCTGTTTGTATTTCATCCTTGACATAGTGAGTAGAGAATACAAACTGAGTATATTTTCAGTATTTGTTTGTACATGTGCACACGTATTTTTGTATTTCTAGTTTACACATTAAGGTGATGTCTAAGCAGTTGATTCTCTTACTATATTTTTCACAGTTATGTTATCTGAATTTTCGGATATTCTTTTGCTACTTTAATGTCAAAGTAATTCCCATAATGTTGTTTTTCTTCCTTTTAATGAAGAAAATGGCACAAAAGATAATACTTTTTTGTTATCTTTTGTTCTTGATGCTTTCGTCTTCTTATGTTATCATTCCAATATTCCCCATTTATGTAATCCATCCTTAATAAGGTCTTATTATGTCCATTAATGGTTTTTTGTAAGTCATTTTTTCATTGGTCTTTACTATTTTATGATTTTTGTTGTCATTTGATTACGATTGCAAAGAAGAATGCTAAGTTTGAGTGAGTTTCAGACTTTTTGAGATTATGCATTTATTTGTGTGTGCCATACAGAATGGAACCACAAGTTTTGGAATTTGAATGTTTGGATCGACGACATTGGGGCTTTTTAAATAATTATGTGCTGATATTAATGCAGACACACTTCTCACTTCTGTTAAGTGATTTTGTTGTGAGTGTCGTCGATATGTATGAATGTATATTTATGCAATAATAAATTAAAGTGAACCTGGTGTAGCCACTCCTATATCGTCGTTCTTATTTATCTATTATCCATGAAGGATCTTAAATAGGAGTTAAATTATTTATGAATGATGATTTATGACTTAAGGGATACATCGAAACTAAGTCACGAAACTGCAATATTCATATTTGCCTCTCTTGAAAAGATTATCTAAAAGCAAAGCTGCTTCAAATTCTTGAATATATTTTAAAGTTTAATTTATAAACTAATATCTACATATTATATTATCTATATTACACTTTAAACAATACTTGAATCGCTGTGTATATAAATATAGGTCCTGGCCGATTCAAGAATTGTTTTTGTTTTGAAAGTTAGTTTTTAGGAAGTTCTGTATATAATTTTATTATGTTTGTATGTACATGTTTTTTTTATTATTATTATCATTATTATTAATTTCATTATTATAATTATTATTATTATTATTATTATTATTATTATTATTATTATTATTATTATTATTATTATTTTATTATTATTATTATTATTATTATTTATTATTATTATTATTATTATTATCGGAAATACATAGTTTGTCGAATAGTTTCCCCAAGTAAAGTGAGGAATAAATAGCACTAAAATTCCAACTGAACAGCCTTGATTTTTTTCACATTTTGAAAAACGGCCCTTAATCCGTTAGTACAGGGTTGAAACGCTGTCATTTCAAAAGTAGCAGGTAAGGCGTTAAATTTATGTATTCAGTGTGAATATGTATATATTTTGGCAAACCCTTGGTGTAATTTTTGAAACTTCGTCGAGGGAGTGCTTTTGTAAAACAACACTTTTTGTATATCATTTTTCGAATATGTAACATTGAATAAACTTTTTTTAACTTTCGCAGCCTTTGTTCTTGTTTGTTTGTTTTTTGTTGTTTTTCTATGTTAACTATATGATTGATTTGCCATATCATTGTTATCTTGTACTATATATTGATGTTTTGTTTTTAAATATTACAAAACCTCATGAGGAATGGTAATGATATATGAAATGTGTGTAGTTAAGGGAGACAAATCTCCAAAACTACTGTGATAAGGTGGTTTGTGGAGTTGCCCTCTTAGAAATAAACAGTCTTAGTATTCATGTATTTTATGTTTTATATATATGTATAATGTATGGATGATACTTTAATGATAAATAAATACTATATTGTACGAACAACGTTTTATAAACTGTGCGGATTCATTATAGTATGCATGTAATCAAATATGATTGAAGTAAAGTTATTTTCGAGATTTCTTTTGCTTGAGTTTTAAGTCGTACTCAATACAGTATGGGTCATATGGCGACTTTCCAGTTTTACTGGTGGAGAAAGACCTCAGGTGCCTCTCTGTGTGCATTATGTCAGAGACAAACAGGCATCAGAGTAGAACCACCAACGTTCAGTAATCGAAAATGAACACAAGTGCATATAGCATCTTATGATTACTGCTGTAAGAAACTTTTGATTAAATGGTCAGTGAATGGCCCTACTTTATAAATATTTTAAGGTTGTATAGATTGCGTTTTGCATTAATTTGACCGTAGTCTGCCAAGAAATTCACTTTGCGATTAGTAAAATATTTAGGTGGAGCCTACTGCGACGTACATATTTGACAAAGCATCACAACTTGAAAAGTCATATGTATACATTAATGGGCATAACGTGATCCATCAGAACCATTAAAAACAGCAAAAAATTACATGAAAACTGCAGACTCGGTTTGATCGAGTCTGTACATGAGGGATAATGAATGTGTGCAACATCCCTCGCGTCCCCTAGCACCGGCGGTACTCAATTCTCAACACTTAATAGTGCTGGCATCAATGATCCCGAAGGACCAGAAAAATATAACAACGCTGAAGTGAAGTACGGTCTGTCACACAACACTTGACAACTGCTGTTGTGTTTCTTAAACTGCTTACATTTTCATTACAAAAACAAATAACGTAAACTTAGTGAAGTAAAAGTGCGCCCTTTTTAAGGGCGGCGTCCTGATGGAACTCCGATCTGTTAAAAACTAATCAATGTCATTTGAATAAACAAAATTTATTTAAATACATCTATTAATCTTTCACAGTCATTTGACTTCTGTATAAAGTTCAAAATGGACAATGTGAATTTTAATCCTATAAAATTAAAAAAACATCTCGCCCCTCTGTAGTCGGTTGGATGCATAAACATTATTCACATTTTTTCCGACGAAAGAACGGCTACAAAGGCGATTCTGAAAGAAAACAAGAAAACCAAAGAGTGACAAAAATTTATTTGAATTCAGCCTGCAAAAATATCAAATGCTAACTTAAAATAGCATAAATAATCCTTTCATTCATCATTATAGTAACTAGATATATTATCTAAATGCTCACGAAAATGTCGTTTTAACTAAATTTCTAAACATACCTCAAATATTATACATATGTATAAATATTATTACCAGATATTATTGTGGTAGCTACGGTGGGCAATGGGGCTCTATAGACAGACCCCGCATGTCTCTGGCGTCGTCGACGACGGCAAAATATGAAAACGCAGAAGGCTGTAGTCAGGATTGCCAATACAACAACCGCTATGATAACACCAATAATAACATATGCTATAGACTTAGCTGCGTCACCCAAGGTTTCTCCTTCTGAAATATCAGAACAATCCTTGTATTTTTTTTACACTCTCCATTTTCTTTCTGATTTGTCCAATTAAAATTTGTTAAAATTTGTTTTTAGTGTTCTAGATCCAAAATATATATACAGAGGTCAGTGGAACAGAAAGTGCCTGGAGTACATGCGGAAAGCTGTTGTCATAGCTTACATTGTGTGTTGGTATCATTTCACACATTATATAAAAATGAAAGTTTTAAATGATAACGTGCCTTTATTGAACTTAGGTATGATATATAAGAAGTTCGAAATTTTCATAAAGTATAATATTATAATCTATATAATGTGATCATTAAATCCTAGAAATGCGATGTACGTTTCTTTAAATTTTCTTTGCTTTGTTCTGTTATTGGTAGTCCTGCAAAAGAGGAATATTAGAAAGGTAAGGTGTATTCAGTTTACAATACAAAATATCATACCATCTTCTTTAATTGACAACTGCAGCTTTATTTCACTGGAAGTTGTATTTGTTGCGTTGTTTTTAAACACTACATGTAATGTTTTTGACGTATCCGCACAGAAATCACTTCTCTGCTTGTCTGTACAACTATACCACTGCAACACATTGATAACTGACCTTAGTTCAATATCGCAATGAGAAAGGCGCATTTGAAATGGTATTATATGTAATAGTATCAAGGAAAGTTAATACTTATAGATCGGTGGCGTGAATTTGTATTGCTTTGTCAAAACAGGCACTGTTTAAAACGAATAAATTGCCGTGCTAATGTAAAGACATTTATATGCATATTGAATATTTTATTATCTTGGGAAAAAGGTGGTAAATGTCAACGATAATAATAATCTTGTATCTCAAAAATTAATTTATTCTAAAACATCTTACTTTATCCGGTGTATAAGAGGAACTGTACCCGGTTTGGTAATATTCTAACCGTGTACCACAATCCACATCAAACTTTTCAGACTCGGAGCACACTCTCTTTGAAACACTTGCAGAAACCCTAAACGTACAGTCTGGTGGCAATGGTACGCCCAGATAATGGAAATATAAATGATCGTCCTCCTGTACACTGTAAGTTCCTCCGCACGTTGACCGCATAACAATGATTGTTCTTGATTCTGCAGGGAAAAAACACATTAAGATAAACATTGATGAAAATAACAAATGTAAAGGTATATACATGTACATTCGACTATCGCGTTATCCCAACTCGTATCTTCTTTCAAAAACAGTTCAGCAATAGAAAATACAAGCGTTCTTTTATTCGGCACCATCCCCCCCCCCCCCCAAAAAAAAAAGCAAAACAAAGCAAACAGACAAAAAACAGAAATTTAAAAATTTCTTTCTTGCATGTAACAAATAGTGTATAGTCGTAACATGTACAAAAAAAACATCACCTGCTAATTCGGACACATTTTAAATAGTTTATTATATTATTCAATTGTTTCTGTAACGATTACAGAATTTTCATGAAAAACATATCAATGAAGTAAATTACAAATGTACAATATAGTTTTGAAAGATATCAAGTTACAAATTGATAAATTAACATTAAATGTCATACAATTCAATAAAATCAATCAAATGTATTTAAACACACCAAGACAAATGTTATCAACAAATTTAATCAAATAGATAGACAATGTGTTTTGTGTACTTAAAACAAACCCCATATATATTATAATGATTCAGTGTGCTAATATTGGGTAGTATAATTGAATACAAACCCGTACGTTAAGCAGCTAAATGAATAAAAAAAAAAACAAGAATAAAGATCAACAAGGCAAAGGCAACGTTCACAGGACGCGGCCCCCCGACACACCCAAGCAGGGCACCCATAAGACACCCAGAATAACCCCTTAACATGCTTAATATCTGAAAGTGTCTTCTCTCCGTCTTTCTGTCTAGATAATACATTCAGATTATTTTTAACGGAAACTTTCGAAATATGTACTGGCTAAATCGCGAACAGTGCGGACCATTATTAGACAGTAAAGTTGTACCAGAAGATCTTGGTATGCACTGGTCGCGTGGGAAGATTCTAAAACATTCTGAAAATTAAAACTTGACACTTCGTGGGCTTTAGGTCAAACTAATTAGCTTCGTGTGCATAACAAATGTTACTGTTAAATTTAACAAAATCTTACCAGACATTGAAATGATCAATCCACTGAAAAGAAATACACATAACCTATCCATTTAAACAGATTACAATTTTCTTTGTGTGTATTATTCCAAAATGTTTAGCTATAAATGTCTAAAATCACACGATACCATCATTTATATATAGAAGAGAATCCTTGCAACGAACCATCGAGTATCTATATAGTTAATAAAAAATATATATCATCTGATGATTTAATATAAAAGCATGTATGTACATTGTATATCTGTTTCTATATTTAGGTTACACATACAGTCCCATTTTGCATTTTTCTTCATACTATTATATCATCAATGTCGACGTTAAAACTACAGGGTCAGAGGTTAAAGCTGCATGCCTCCAAATGAGTCAAAATATTTTTTTAAAGAATCAAATTACCGAAAAATGTAAAAAAAAAAAAGAAAAGATTTTAAGAAAAGTAAAAAGATTTAAGTAATACTTTACATTTTATGTATATGAAAATTGGCATGAATCTGGAGGTATGGTGCTTAAGAAGAAACTGGCGGTTTGAATTTAATCCAGATACCCTAGCTGCTACTGTAACATTTCACTTTCAACCCTATACGAAACCAAGCAACAGTCAACAGTTTACTGGCGTCTTAAACCTGGCTATATGCATATATTCTCGAAGTAACAAGGCATTTGGGGCAGCATGGAACACTGTTCCATTTTGCCCCATTACGGCAAATGACCTTTGACATTGATTTTAATGATAATATCACAAGAACCGATCAAAGCCAATCGGTTAAAATAAACACACGTATTAACTTATAAGATTTACCTTATATCATTCTTATATCTGAAATTTACATATATTGCACCAGAAACAGTTGTCTTGAATAAATGTTTGAATTAAACTCATTTCCACTTACATGACCTAGCTACTTAATTAAAACAGGAACATTACGCTTTGATTGTTTTCTGATTATTGTTGTCGGTATAGGTAACGAAATCGAGACGCTTTAACGTGTTGTTTTATGTTGTCCCGCATTCTGTTTTCTCCCCAACTGTAAAGCTGCCCATGTAATTTTACTTTTAAATCTTTCTTTCACCCTTACTAACAAAAATATTTTAACAATGACTAGAAGTTTTCAATGTCTCTCACTGTCCTGATCATGTTCATTTTCAGGTTTTTACTTTCTCTCGCACCTTTTACTAACACACCGACGCGCACAATTTCCTGCCTATAACACTCGCGAGAGGGGTTGGCAGTACTCAGAGATAGATAGATAGATGTAGCCCTGTCTCATTTACAGAGCAGGTGTAACTTAAATATCAACAAAACAAACATTTTATTACTTTGATTTGTATATTTTAATCAAACATGTGATACTTTTATGGGGATGAATGTTCTGTCTAGTTATAATACATACATGCATTTGTGCGTTCAGAGATTAGTATTACTGAGAATGTTGGGTGAGTTAAAGAGCGGGTCAAGGCATTCAGGTAGCCTGCAGTCTAATTAAAGTAGTGATTATACTTCTAAGGCAGAATTAAATCAAGTCATCATGTAAATGATATGAAAACCCCTACAAAACATCAGAATGTCACGTGGCTCTCATTTTACAATGTTTTCAAGAGTAATTTTGTAGATATTGCTACTTTTTTAACTTCGGTTAAAAATTTATGCATCTCTAAATATTTTCACTTGACGGTTTGTCAACCGTCTTCACGGGATCGCTGTGCAGCGTGTGACAGGACTAGCCATGATTTCGCATCGGACACCGTATAACGGCCTTTAGCATTTTTACCCGCGCACAGGCGAACAATTTGATAACATGAAAGAGCCTCTGTAGGTAATACGAGTTTGATCATCGCTAATTTGCAGTGTAAATCATAAACTTTAGTAAAAATGTGATTAACGTATCTCTATAAAATATTTTTAAGATTAGTGTTGGTGAAACTTAAAGACTGTTCTTTGTTTACAAGAACTCGCAATAATTCGGTTATAAAGTATTTCGGACGTACAAGACTTCTCTGTAATATTAATTGATTTAATAATTAAGACTTTATTTAACGAGAGAACTCATTTGAACATCATATCAATCTTCCATGAGGCCCCCAACAAGGAACAACACATTCACAGATTCAAACTATTTAAATACATGAACAGATATACTCTATAAATGTAAAATATACACAAGCCTATTAATTTGTATACACCGGTGTGTGATAATATCTCAATTATAAGGTTTTAAATTTAAAAATTTAAAAAAGTTTACAGATGAAGCAGACTTGATAGACCTGCTAAGATAACATGCATACAATTAAACAGACAGGTGATTGGCTTAAAAACAATCACATACATGTGAATGATGATTGGTTGAAGGCTTGTGTGGAATGGATACAAGAAGAGAACCAGGTATATAACTTGGAGTTTTTATTTAACAATTATGTAGAAATAAAAATATATATGTTCAGGTATTTATCACTATTATATTATTGGTAAAAGGTATTTTCAAATAAAGAAAATATTTGTTTGTTTTTTTTTCAATCGATTTAGCACAAACTTTCCAAATGAGTACATTAAACTAGACCTATAAATGATTACATTTATTTGACCAGAATCTATATAGAGGATTTAGCTGTTTTTATGTAGAAAACAGATATCAAAATTCCATACATTTATATGTATTAGTAATTGAAAGTTACAACCTCAAAGGACAAGACCATGATATAATTTTAGCATGGTGGGGATTATCTAAATGAAATGAGTTATCACTTACAGGGACAAGGGTTGACAAATGATGATATAAATTCTCAAGTGTACGAACAATGGTTGTTGGCAGATCTTCACGAGTTAGAGACATGCTGTCTTCCAGGGGAGATCACTACATCACAGAAATTTGAATTGATTGGAACTTACGCTTTACAGGTACTATGCATTAAATGTCAGTTACACTTAAAAAGTGGGAGCATACTGTGATGAGGTTGGCTCATAGTATGTCTGACCATCGTGTACCTTCAGTAATCCTTGTTTGATTTTTAACTTGAGAAGGAATAAGACATAGCCAGTAGATGACCCTGATTCATTTTAAGGTCAAAGGTCAAGGTTACAGTGACAATTTTTTTAATAATCCTTGTCTTATCAACTATTTGGGAATGAATAAGCCATTTTTATGTCGCATGTTTGGACATTGCCCATGGCCAGTAATTGATCACTATTGAATTTGTGGTCATAAGGTCAATGTGTCAATGTGTGCTGTGTGTAAAATCTTTGTCTGATTCTATGGGATTAGTAGTAAGTCATTTGTGTAGAAATTTGTAATCATTGTTTAGTTATCAGGAAAGCTGTTTTGTTGCCAATTGCCAAGGAACAGCAAAAAATATGTTGAATTTGAGGTAAAAACCAAACAAACAAACATGTATGACATAATGTTATAGATGGACAGTTTTAGCACACCTGTCACAAAGTGACATGGTGAGCTTTTGTTGTCACTTTAAGTCCGGCTCCATCCTTCCGTCGTCCGTAAACTTTTACTTTAAACAACATCTCCTCATAAACCACTAAGCCAATTTCATCCAAACTTCACAGGAATGGTCCTTTTGTGGTCACCTTTAAAAATTGTTCAAAGAATTTAATTCCATGCAGACCTCTGGTTGCCATGGCAACCGAAAGAAAAAACTTACCTTAAAATATCTTCTTTTAAAAACCCCAAAGAGCTAGAGCTTAGATATTTATCATGAAACATCTTCTAATGGTTGTCTACCAAGTTGGTTTAAAAAAAAAAGCCCCTAGGTTAAAATTAGCCCCGCCCCAAGGGCCTTTATACAGGTGAGCAATTTCAGGGCCATCATGGCTCTCTTGTTAGTTTTATGGCACTTATATGTTAAAGATCAACTTTACATTGTATGACATTATTTAGCAGATTGACTCTATGAACTTGTATAGCATTATGTTACTGGTTGATAATATTGAATTGTATGATATTATATGTTTAAGATTGACCATTAAACATTGTATGATATTATATTAAAACTTGATATTATTAGCTGGTACATGTAACAATGTATGACATTATTTTGTAGACGGATAATATCAACTTGTATGACATTATTCATCTATGTTACAAATTGACATTATCAACTTGTATGACATTATATATGTATGTTACAGATTGACATAATCAACTTGTATGACATTATTCATATATGTTACAGATTGACATTATCAACTTGTATGACATTATATATGTATGTTACAGATTGACATAATCAACTTGTATGACATTATATTACAGATAGACAGTATAGTTGATGTGGGTGTTTCATTCTACTCTCAGCAACAAAAACTTAAAGGCACAGAGAATGCTAATGTACATGTAAATGCTGAAGAACCCACTCAGAGACCTGTAAGTTCCAAAATGTTGTATATTATATCTCAAATGAGCCGTGTCATGACAAAAACCAACATAATGCTTTGTCACCGTGGACACTTTTAACGGCCAGTCCATTGCTGTAGGTGTTATTCTTATAAATGAGTTACCATTTTTCATGACAGGGTTCACAGAAATGGTAATGGTATGACATTTAAAAGGTGGTAAGAAATCTTTAGAGCAACTGAGTACTATATCGGAAACACGATCGAGTACTGAAATCAGGACTCATTCCCTAAATTAAATTTTAAGTGATAGAATTGTTATCAAACTAGTTAACTATAGATTCAACAGACTTGCAGGCTGGCCTAATCAGACAGTTGGATTAAGCCTGTTTATTTCGTCTATAAGTATTCTAAAGGTTAATTTATTCAGAAAAAGTGTAATGCTATGATAGATAAATGGTATTTTATATAGTGGGAGGCCAAACCTTCAAGAATGTTGATGTTTAAGCTAACAGATGGGACTCACAATGTACAAGGTATGGAGTACAGACCTATCTCATGCCTCAGCCCACAGACTACACCAGGAGCCAAGGTATTTCAGAATATTGATGCATGTAAAAATTTTCTCACAGGGATTTGTATTCTGTCATGTCTGCATATGGAAAGTCAGTGCTTGTAAAAAATGGAAGAAAATGTATGCTCAATGAAATAGTGTGAAATGAGAGCCCTTGTAAATGTATTCTTAATCATTTACTGATCTAAGTATTTTACTCTTTTATTTTTGCCTAGTGTAAGAAATACTAAGTTAAATATGACAGATGACTTTATGTGGTTAAGGTGTATGCTTCTTAATCCAAGGGATTCTAGATTGAAGCCCTATTTGTGTCACATAACACCAGTACTGGTATGACAAGGAAGCAAACTCAATGTTTGTTCAAATAAACTTTCAGTTTTGTTTACTATCAAGTTTTGATACATTGTAAATGTTTAAAGATAGATAAACAACATTTTGTTTGCTTAATTTGGACAGATTTTGGTACATGGAAATGTTCTATGTCGTCACAGTGTGCTAATGTTGACAGACAGTAACATCAAGTTCCTAGGTGGAGAAGTAGATACACTGGTGGAAGCTAACACTGTGTTAAACACATTACAGTCAGCTATGTAAGTGCTCAAAGTCTCCTATCCTCTTGACATATGTAAATAAATTGATTTGAATATATGATACACATGTAATTAGTTGATTGATTGATGTAATTAGTTGATTGAATGATGTAACTAGTTGATAGAATGATGTAATTAGTTGATTGATTGATGTAATTAGTTGATTGAATGATGTAATTAGTTGATTAATTAGTTGATTGATTGATGTAATTAGTTGATTGAATGATGTAATTAGTTGATTGAATTATAGAATTATATGAAACAGCTGTCTAACATTTGGGAATGTTATGCTACTCTGTCTACACAATCTATAGGCCAGAGTTATCTACATTTTAGTTAAATCATGGGAGAAAGAACATCTATATTAAATGTGTAATGAGAATATTTTGGATTGTTTTTCCTATTATTAAACAATATTTGTTTTGATGGTTCGGAAGTTAGGTTACAGGTCCAATAGTGTTTTCAGAACTCTAGACAAGTGAAGAAAGGACTTCAATGCATTATAAATATAAAGCATAAGATTGCAGGGCCAATGAAAATGCCTCAGTTTGCCATAATAAAGGAAAAAAGAAATATAAATCTTATGTTTAGCCATTAATTTGCTGGACCCAAAATTAGTTTACTTTTGTCACCAGTATAGAGCCAGACCAGCCTGCATATTCATACAGTCGGACGAGGCTGTATACTGGTGATAGCTCAATATTTTGTGTTTTGATATTGAAATCCCTTCAACTTTAGAATGGACTGTTCCAGATTCAACGCAGTGTAAATCCATTACACATAATAATAAATTTCATCAGTTTAATGGTTAATAACCTGTACCTTAGCAAATTTGTTTATTGGACAATTGCCACTTTCATTCTTCTTGACAGTTGTAAAATGATTGGAGGCCATTAATTTTGTAAATTGTGCCAGTAACATTATCTTTGATGGATTGTTTGTAGGGCAGCCAGTGAAGAATATGCAGGAAAAGAACATAAACAAACATTTGCTGGAACTCCCATAAGGCATTGTAAACAGCCGGTCACAAGTAATCAAGTTAATCCAGGAAACCAGTCTAGGTCATGGGGCAATTCTAGAGGCAGTGGGAACCAGTTTTTCACAGAAATCCATCAACCTGTTTCAACGTCAAAGGCATAAAGCTTTTGACCAGTGTCAATATAACTCCCAGTCCATTCCTTATACAAGTAGTGGAATAATTATTCTCTATAGACAATCAAACTTGGAAATGTACTTATCATATTTTATAAGACAGAAACTAAGCCTTTTAATAAGTAATGAAATCAGAAACCTGATCAATTCAAATTTCTGGATGTATGGACACAGAGTGCATGTTAATATACACGTGCTTCGTGCCAATAATGGAATATAACAAGGCTGATAGTCACGACTAGTGTTGAAAAATAGTACATTCTTCAAAATCCTTTCGATGTCAAGAAACTCAATGACCAACAATACGGTCACTATGTTCTGATACACTTTACTCACTTTTTGGATGAATTTAATATGTTCATTTATCATCTTCACTTTTATTTTGGTCCGCAACACCTGTGTCCCTGTTAAGTGATACACTACCATCCAATTTCATTTGTTCATCGATTTAACCTGACACTCACTCACATCCCATGGCCTATAAATCTCTTATATAAAATCATAGTGTGTGTGCTTGTTCCTGCTCCGGTTAAATCAAACCTCGTCATGACAAATTTTCTCTCCTCAAAAGTTCGGGTAGAGTGAATATATAGAGTGTCGGAATATATTTTTGTTTATTTTATTTCTTGTTTTCTATATCTATGAAAACATCAGTGACTTAAATCCCCCCTTAATGACATAGTGAGTGCATCTAACAAAAAAAATCATTGAACATAGTATAATCATATTATTATATATTTGAGGTAATTCTCTTAGTGGTAAACATTTATAAATGGAAAACTAGAATGGTACTCTTCATTAGTTCTGCCCTACACTGTGTGTGTTTCATCCAGATGCGGGGGACATTTGATAGAAGAGAAATATATAACACCATCCGAGTCAAACTTGATCTGTGTTTTCTTTATTGAAATACCTTTTACTCCTACAGTACTCGATACCCTATAATAAGTGATAAATACCTGAACATATATATCTTTTATTTCTACATAATTGTTAAATAAAACTCCATCCTCTTATATTACCTTGTCGATCGTCTTCTCACTCACTAATAGCTGTGACCGAATTCTCCCTACAGCAACGCGCATTAACTTCTGAACAAAATACGATGAATCTTCGACAATGATATATTGTGTATTGGATAACGTTTGATTATTATTATGTAAGGACCCTAAAGTATCGGCAGTATGCCTGTTGATCTTGTTTGCAACTGTTTTTATGCGATGTATTTCTTTCTGCCTATGTTGAATAATATCTGATTAGTCCTATCGGTCTACACAATACTCATTAGCTGGAAAATATAGCGTTAATTTTTTTACATAAACTTAATCTTTAGAACCTCTCAAACCTTATAATGAGAGTGTATTTAAAAATACGCACCAACAACCAAGAAGTTTATATAGAAACTATTATAACTGAAACTTGTAAATATATAGCTTGTGTATATTTGATTGTGAGTACGAGTATGTTCAGTCTGAAAATTATTAATAATCACTGTCTTTTTCTTTTCTTCTTATGTGAGATAATATATTTATACATGGATTGCTATTGGCAAAACGAGCATAGATGAAAATTATATGCAAAAATTTTAATAAACTGAACATTCAGTTGATTTAAGCTCATAATGAAAGTTAGCTGGACAATATTTTTTGATGAAACTTGACATGTTGGTGTTACTTGGATGGTCAGTTCTTGGGGAGCATTATTGCACCTATGATCTATTCTGTATTCTATGCACTATTAAAACATATTGGATTGTCTTTTCAAAGTGAGTTCTCTCGTTAAATAAACAGTCTTTAATTTATTTAAATCAATTAATAGGCAACAAATAGGCTATACAAATTAACATAGAGGGAGGCTCACAAATGTTGTGTATCACACAATAATTTGTTGGTTAGTCATACTAAAGTTAGTCTGAAAACATGTTTATTATAATTGAAATTGCATCTTTAATTCCAGAGTTATCTCCTCTTTAAGAATTGTTCTCGCTATTGTTTAATCATTAGTATTATATTCAATAAAAGACAGCGAGCATGAGTGTTTCTAAATTATAAACTTTAGAGTGCATGTGCTTTAGAGTCCCGAATTCCATGTCCTCTGAGTCTGTTCTACTTTAAAAACTATTTATCCTGTGATATCTCTCACTATTAAAGATTACGTGTTCCTCACAAATTTACTTAAAATAGTGCAGCAAAATTAATTACTTTATATAACTTCTAAGAGATATTTACTCAATGATTGCCCTTACCAGAAATGCTGTATGGGCATACTATATCCGCACGATGAGTGCACTCTACAAACATATCTGCTTAGCCCTACAATACATGCTGATATCTGTGTTCTTGTGTTTATAAATAAATTATATGTTCCCTACTATATTGCTAGGATGTTCTTATCTACAATTCCTAATAAGGGCCTTTCCTTTAGATGGGAGACGCCATCTTCATTACATTTGTGATCGTTACAAAATCATCATAACATAAGTTTCCTTTCACAATGGCCAATAGCGGTATAACCTCCGTTACGCATGGATATGTATATTATAAGAGATAAACGGAACCATATACTAAGTCATAATCGCTACTTTATTTTTTATGGATACTTACCATTCTCGTACTCACTGTGCAAACATTTAACAACTATATAAATTTTATAATCAAGATCAAACATGAAGACCGTAGCATAATAAAAAGGCTTATCAGATTAGTAACCTCATAGACATTTTGCCGAAAGTTCAACGTGTGGATCAGCAATGTTCCCTCAATACTAAATCAAGGTGGCAATAGGCAGTGATAGCAGAAACACACTATTGTGCTGCTTCAGCTTGCTTGGTTAATGCCAAAGATTTGGCTTGAAGGCTGTCTGTATCTGTCATCTGAAATTATAAAAAACAAACATGTTTGAAAGTAAGAAGAATGAAGAAGAATATTGAAAAATTCTAAACTAAGATAATTAAGAAAAAAAATCACATACTATTCATTTAAGTGTACAGTAATTGGTATAAGTTACCTTAAGGCATTTTATTTTGTATGCTTCTTGGCTGAATCTTTCTTTAATATTACACAGTCATATGACATTTGCTTCTGTGAGAGCTTTAGACAAAACTAAAATTTGGTTTTAAGGTCAATCTTATTTCTTGCAGGAATTCTCTGTAAAGCTTTTAATGTCAAATAAATTCCTTGTCAATTTTATGTTTTTGGAGCCATAATTAGGTCAGAGTTATTTGGCAATACCCCCCACCCCACCCCCCACACACACACACAACAACCTTCACTCTATAACTCATAATTCCTATAATTCCTTTGATCTGTTTATGATCAACAACAATAAAAATAATTTGTAAACTTACCTCAAGTCATCAACTGAAAAACATAACTTGTCGCTATTTCATACCTAAACCGCTGATTTGATTAGCGATAATCTTGAGATGCCACTAGTTATTGTTTCGTATTGAATATTATGACCAATTATCCATTGCATATTCAACAATCTGCCAGGTATTTTCATGCCAATAAGTGTCTTAAAAGAACGAAATGAAAGCACAAGGCATAATTTTCGGCGACAGAAAAAAAAAATTCTCTAGACCATACAAAAAAGTTTGAGTCAGGGCAAATTTCGTGAGACGGTCGCGTTACTGCAAACAAACATTTTTTTAAGGATGGCCTCATGATGTCACCATACCAATGTTGCAATTTAGTTTTGTAAAATTTTTCGAATTTGGTTACATTTTTAACACAATGTATGCAGTTATTTACTTGCTTCGCTTCTCCTAAAGAAGCAAAATTTACATATGATGGAATTCATTCCTGTTGATAATTCCATTTAGTAATGAAATATTATTTTCTGTAATTTCATCCACATTTCAAATAGTGAAAATTATCAAATTTATCACTGTGAAAATTATAAAATATTTTACATTTTTCTGTTACTTTTTTGTTTGTTTTTAGACTGTCTCCGGTTATGATGAGTTGTTAGATGATGACATGGATAGTCTTATGCAGGAAATGACAGATGACGACTTCGAAACAAACTATCAGAATAGAAATTCGAACAATCAAGTCTTGTCAAATAACCAATCAGCTTACCAGAATCTTAATACTAGTGGTTCAAGACAAGTTACTGCTGTTCAGAATAAGAGTATGAAATCATCAAACAGCAGGAGTGATGCTGGTATTGCAAGTAGAATTCAGATGACGTCGTCCAGTGTCTCGGCTAATCAGACATCTGCAAGAGCTCCAGGGACAAGAGCTGTTTTGACCAGTGAAGATCTGGTTGCAATGGAATTTGAAGATGACATGGACTTTCCGTCAGACGATTTTATGACTTCTTCCACTGTTTCTTTCCAACAAAGCAATCAGAATTCAAATAACCCATCAGTTGCTGGAGCAAGTGCTAAAAATAGTAACAATAAAACCCAAAGTCATTTTATGAAACAAAATTTTGGTGAAAAGAAAAGTTATGCTGGAATGGAATGTCAGGTTAGTAATTCCAGCAGTTATATGAACCAAAATAAACAAACAAGCTCCAGTGAGTCTGGGAAGGCAAACAGTTCTATTAATCTAATGGATGGTTCCCAGCCTGTTATGTTAAACAATGTGGATATGACAGTTAATATATCCAACAAAGGAGTTAATCTTTCAATCAAAAGCCGGAATCAAGTCTCAAAATCAGGTGCATCAAAAGAGGCAAATAGAAATACAGATTCTAAATTTGGACTATCAAAGATAAAATCAGAAGCTAAAAATAGGGAAGTTGGGGGAACCGTTAGTTCAAATATAGGTGGCCAGTCTTGTCAAAGTTCTATACAGAGCTTCCTTACACCAAATAAAGAAAAAACAGAACAACCAGTTAAAGAAAGCATTGGAACAGGTTTGATATTTTATATTGTTTTATGATAAATATTATGTAATAAAAACTTCTTGGTGTATTTAAAACAAATTTTAAAAAATATCGAGAGGGACATTCATTGATCTCTTGTATCAAATAATTTGCAAAGTGCAGAAGAAGTATAATTCCATGTAAAAGAATAATTTATTTCTTTTGTAAAGCCGGCGCTGATCAAGCATTATTTTCAGGGAAGTTCACCCGTATTTTTGAATATCTAGAAGACACTTGAAGGTGCAGCTTTAGCTTTCAACTGACAGTACACTCTTCAATGTTGCCAAAATAAGTGTGACTACAAACAGAAACAATTTTTAACAGAAAGACAACGGCCATGAAATTTTAGTAGAGCCTAAAATATTTTGATGTCTTTATACTGAAGTTATATAACAGTCATGATGTATTACAATTATGTAAATGGTATATATCAAGCTAGCTTCTAGAAACAGACAGTAATGTTATTAAAGTTATTGTTATAATTTCAGATATACAGACAGAGTACCCATTTACTTACCTCAGTAAAGTAATGTCTCTACCTGTACAAACAGAGCCATCTTATCACACTGTAAAGGTATGGTTTTTGTTCTGAATGAATCTAGTGTTGTTCATATGTTTTTGACATGGGTCATTTTGATTTTGAATTTTTTTGGGGCTGACTTAAAACTCCTTGCTTTTCACAATTGTAGTTGAAGTGGTGGTCTGGTGGTTACGGTGTCTGCCTCTCAACCCGGGGATCATGGGTTCAAACTCTTATTAGGTCACGCCCATGTTTCTTCTTATGACACCAGTACTGGTTGGTTCCAGGAAGCAGATTAGAAAATGATTAATATAGTTGCAAGAATTTGTTTCGCACTCGAGCTTAAGTAAATATATATATGTGTGTGTAAACCAATTGTAGATGGAATTTCTTCGACATCCACCCCCCCTTTTGATTCTTGTTTTGAGAAGGCTATTCAGCATGCTTACTGGAGGTATTGAAGGTCAATAGTTCTACTTCGGTTCCTGCTTGTGTACTCAAAATAATCAATTTTATAATGCACAATGTGGCATCTGAGGCCTTCATCTGCAACCAAAGCTTTAAATTTAGAACATGAAATCCAACTGAAAAAAATTGTTGTCATCAGTTTATCATAGTATTATACACTGTCACATGACATGCTCATCTGAGTTAGTTACAACGCATAAACACTTACCTTAAAATTGTGTATGTAATATCTTCACTTCTCTCACTTGATATCTGATATGGACTTGTACATCTTCCATATTTGGACTAAACTTTTCATTCTTTTTTAGAAAATTGCTAAATATGTATTGACAAAATAGCAAACAGTGTAGACCGTATAATATGATGCCGCAAGCAGTCTAAGGTATAATCAATAATAATAAAAAAAAAACAGACAGCCCTATTTTTAGCTCGACTATTCGATAAGAATAAGTAGAGCTATTGCAGTCACCCGAACGTCGGCGTCTGCGTCGGCGTAACCACTTTATGTTAAAGTTTTTGTAATACCTCAAATATTTTCAAAGTCCATTGACATATGGCTTTGAAACTTTGCACACTTGTTCAACCTCATGACCCCAACCAGTAAACAGGAGGAGGTAACTGTATCAATCATTTTGACAGAATTATGCCCCTTTTTCGACTTACAATTTACGTTAAAGTTTTTGTAATACCTCAAATATTTTCAAAGTTCATTGTCATATGGCTTTGAAACTTTGCACACTTGTTCACCCTCATGACCCCAACCTGTAGACAGGAGGAGGTAACTGTATCAAGCATTTTGACAGAATTATGCCCCTTTTCTGACTTAGAATTTACGTTAAAGTTTTTGTAATACCTCAAATATTTTCAAAGTTCATTGTCATATGGCTTTGAAACTTCGCAAACTTGTTCACCATCATGATGCCAACCTGTAGACAGGAGGAGGTAACTGTATCAAGCATTTTGACAGAATTATGCCCCTTTTGACTGACTTAGAATTTACGTTAAAGTTTTTGTAACACCTCAAATATTTTCAAAGTCCATTGACATATAGCTTTGTAACTTCGCACACTTGTTCACCATCATGACCCAAACCTGTATACAAGAGGAGGTAACACTGTGAAGCATTTGGCAGAATTATGCCCCTTTTTCAACTTAAAATTTACATTTAAGTTTGCATACCACCTCAGATATTTTCATATTTTATTGACATCTGGCTTTGAAACAAGTTGAAATTTTATACTCATCTTTGAGAGCATAATAGGACTCTCTTCAAGGCCTATAACTGTAACATAGATCCCAAATAGGGGGATTTGGCTTTAAAAAGCAGGGGATTTGGACCAAAAGTAGGGGGATTTTTAAGCAAGCACAAACCAGTCGCATACATTTGAACTCTCCCACTTTAAGCGGGAGACTCCCACTTTCTGCAGCCCAATTTTTTTTTAAAGATTTTTCTTAAAATAAGGGGTATTTTCACAAATCAAAGAAATCTCCCTATTTTGACGTAAAACCCAAAACAAACATAGATTTAAAGAAAAAATTTGCCTTTTTGTTAACTTAAATTTTTTAGCTCGACTATTCGATAAGAATAAGTAGAGCTATTGCAGTCACCCGAGCGTCGGCGTCGGCGTAACCACTTATGTTAAAGTTTTTGTAATAGTTCAAATATTTTCAAAGTCCATTGACATATGGCTTTGAAACTTTGCACACTTGTTCACCATCATGACCCCAACCTGTAGACAGGAGGAGGTAACTCTATCAAGCATTTTGACAGAATTATGCCCCTTTTTCGACTTAGAATTTACGTTAAAGTTTTTGTAATAGTTCAAATATTTTCAAAGTCCATTGACATATGGCTTTGAAACTTTGCACACTTGTTCACCATCATAACCCCAACCTGTAGACAGGAGGAGGTAACTTTATCAAGCATTTTGACAGAATTATGCCCCTTTTTCGACTTAGAATTTACATTAAAGTTTTTGTAATAGTTCAAATATTTTCAAAGTCCATTGACATATGGCTTTGAAACTTTGCACACTTGTTCACCATCATGACCCCAACCTGTAGACAGGAGGAGGTAACTCTATCAAGCATTTTGACAGAATTATGCCCCCTTTTCGACTTAGAATTTACGTTAAAGTTTTTGTAATAGTTCAAATATTTTCAAAGTCCATTGACATATGGCTTTGAAACTTTGCACACTTGTTCACCATCATGACCCCAACCTGTAAACAGGAGGAGGTAACTCTATCAAGCATTTTTTTTACTATCAAGCACTAAGAATAGTCGAGCGTTGCTGTCCTACCGACAGCTCTTGTTTATATTATCAAGGTTTCTTTTACTATCAAGCACCAAGAATAGTCGAGCGTTGCTGTCCTACCGACAGCTCTTGTTATTTTCATTGATAATCATGAAAATTGGTGAGTCATAGAATAATGACCTATAAACAAAGCTGACATATATGTAAAACAGTAAACACATGTAATATTTGTCTATTTTGTACATATATGTAATATTTCAGGCATATATATCCACATTAACTAGTAGGCTGTCTAGTGCAGAAGGAAAGTGGACACTATCTTGTAAGATTAATGATGGAACAATGGCAGTTGATGTTGATCTGTCTAACAATGTCCTCACAGAAATGATAGGGTTCTCATGGAAGGAGGCACAGGTAAAACTTTTATAGGAGTTTTAAGCTTTTAAGAAATATTGTTGAGTTATTAAGAACAATTGTACTTGTATGGTTTAAGGTTATTTTGACTAATAATTAGAGTTGGTAGTGTATTAAGAACTGTTTTCAATTATTGATAACTCCAGAAATAATCATTAAGAACTGCTGTAGAGCTATTAAAAACTGTTGTTGATTATGAAAAACCATTGTAGAGTTATGAAGGACTAAGAACTGTGGGCGGGTTATTTAAACTTTAATATTGAAGATTTATTAAGAACTGTTTTACAGTTATAATAAACTTCTGTAGAGTTATTAAGAACTACTGAAGAATTATTGAGTGATGTTGTAGGGTAATTAAGAAATAAAGAAGTTATAAAGAACTTTTAGAAAGTTATAAGGAACTGTTCAATAACTGTTCACAAGTTATTAAGAACTGTTAAAAAGTTATAATGTTCTATTGTAGGGTAATAACAAACAATTGCAGAGCTTATTGTAACTATTTGTAGTTTATAGATGTATAGTAGGAATACAATAAGCTTTGGAGGGTTATAATCCCTTGCGGAAAGGCGGCGGGGGATATAGAAATAGTCTCCATCCTTCCATCAGGCATTTTTGTCCGGAGCTTATCTCAAAAAGTATTTGAGGTATCAACTTAAAACTTCATAGTTGGATAGATCATATTGAGGAGAAGTGCACTGCATAAGAATGAAAACTCTACCCTGCATAATTTTTCAGTTATTGCCCTTTGTTATTTTTCAAACTTAATTTTTGTCAAGAGCATAACTCAAAAAGCTTATGAGATATCAACATGAAACTTAATAGGTGGATAGATCTCACTCAGGAGGTGTGCAGTGCACAAGAATGATAACTCTACCTTCATAATTTTTTAGTTATTGCCCTTTGTTATTTTTCCTACTCAATTTTTCACCTGAGTGGAGCATAACTCAAAAAGTCTTTGAGATTTCAACACGAAACTTCATAGGTGGATAGATCTTATTGAGGAGGAATGCTGTGCACAAGAATGATAACTCTTCCCATTATAATTTTTCAGTTATTGCCCTCTGTTATTTTTCATACTTTTTGTCCGAGCTTATCTCAAAAAGTGTTAGAGGTATCAACTTGAAACTTCATAGGTGGATAGATCTCATTGAGGAGGAGTGCATCACACAAGATTGATAACTCTACCATGCATAAATTTTCAGTTGTTGCCCTTTGTTATTTTTCATGCTTAATTTTTGTCCAGAGCATAACTAAAAATCCTTTGAGATATCAACATGAAACTTCATAGGTGGATAAGTCTAATTAAGGAGGAGTGCAGCACACAAGAATGATAAATCTACCCTGCATAATTTTTCAGTTATTGCCCTTTGTTATTTTTCATGCTTAATTTTTGTCCAGAGCATAACTAAAAATCCTTTGAGATATCAACATGAACCTTCATAGGTGGATAAGTCTAATTAAGGAGGAGTGCAGCACACAAGAATGATAAATCTACCCTGCATAATTTTTCAGTTATTGCCCTTTGTTATTTTTAATGCTTAATTTTTGTCCAGAGCATAACTAAAAAACCTTTGAGATATCAACATGAACCTTCATAGGTGGATAAGTCTAATTAAGGAGGAGTGCAGCACACAAGAATGATAACTCTACCCTGCATAATTTTTCAGTTATTGCCCTTTGTTATTTTTAATGCTTAATTTTTGTCCAGAGCATAACTATAAAAGCCTTTGAGATATCAACTTGAAACTTCATAGGTGGATAGATCTCATTGAGGAGGAGTGCAACACACAAGAATGATAACTCCCCTACATTATTTTTTCAGTTATTGCCCTTTGTTATTTTCAGCCATCAGTATTCACATAAGTTTCAAATCTGTAATCACTTCAGCCATCAGTTTTCATTACCAAAAGGCCTCCTAAAATTGAAATTTTCTGCTCTACTACATATACATTCTTCCAAAGAGCAAACACATTCGGCTAGGGATGGCCATGTTGACATGGCTCTTGTTTGGTTTATAAGGACATATTAAAGTTTTTCCATGAGCAGTTCTTAATATTTCTACAATAATTTCATTCATTCAATATTTTTATTTCTACAATAATTTTATTTATTCAATATTTTTTCCCTTCTTCTACACACAGGAGATGAAACTTAGATTAAAAACAGATCCAGGTGTGAAAGAAGTCCTTACTGAGGTACTTTTTGATAATCTTCAATTTCATGTGTATTTGTTCATGTTTTCTTTTTGTAAGTAACTATCCATATAATGGAAAATGATACATAGTCCTCTTGGAAACTGAAGTGATATTTGTCCTGTGTCTTGAATCACTATCCCTGTCATAGTACTGGTTTAACCATTTACTTCATAAGCATTTGTTTGAAATTACTTTAATGAGCTTTTTCATTGAATAAGTCTCACCGTTAGAAGTATTCAAATTGCTTTATAAAACTATAAAGGACTGACTTCATACACTAATCAAACTTGCGCGACACATGGTTGAAACTGGTACCATTGCCCTTGCAACAACTATGCTCAGGCTTTAACTTTTCTAGTTACCATGGCACGAGGGCGGACATCTCAAAATTGCCCAAAAAATCACTATTTTGCGTTGATTTTTTTCGATCAAAATTGATTTCAAAAGTGCTGCAACTTCTCAAATTGGTATTGAGATAGAGTCAAATGCCCTTTCTCAGCGTTGGTTACACTGTTACCTATGATCAATTCTGGGCGTCATTTATAGCCTCTCACAAGTCCAAACTTTTCTTGGCGATGAGGGGGACACTCCGCCCCCCTTCAAACCCCCAAACAGAAGGAGGGCACATTCCCCCATCTGGCAACCCCCGGATGTATCTTTTGGTTGCGGGACCGCGCCCGGAAAAAGAGGTCACTTTTTTTAACAACATTTCTCAAACAAAAACAAGTGTTGGGGGCCTTAATAAGGCATTTTTTCACCATTTGAGACAACAAAAAGGGGGGGAGGGGTGAAAAAGGCATGTATATAACGTAATGGGTTAAGATACATTTGTTTTATGTTTTCCTGGTTTGAAGCCACCTAGCAACATGTAGCAAACAGAATGTATTTTGTTCAGCCCAAAGTCTTGCCTGTATTTGTATGTGTTGTTTTGTAAGCAACTGATTTGCAGCAACCTAGCTTGCAAACAGAAGGTTTGAAGGTTGTTGGTTTCATTTCCGGTATACCTTATAAATGTAACAATAGATCTATACTTTAATGTTGAAGATGTGATTTGAATTTTAAGAGCAACAAATGAGTTTATTAGAATTTCATTAGTTGCTAAGGAGAGAAAATGGTTCAGATATATTTACATAAAATTTCTCTCAAAGGCAGATAACTTGTTCAACAGTTTTTATCAGCTTTATTTAAGAAACACCACAGTATTGTCCCTTCATTTGTATAGCATAATACATATTTGTCTTCCATGTGTTATTAGGGAGGAATTTAACCAGATATAGGTCCATGGTTTAAGTCTGTATTATAAGTGGTTAGTGACACTTAATTACATGAAAATTTACTTTCTATTATTTATGAAATATAATGCTGTGTTTAAGATGACTAAAACAAGCATGTTTGACACCATTATGGAAGTTTATATAACACATATTCAAATGGTTTCCACTGTACTTGCCATATAACAAAAGTCATATTAAAATGGTTTCCACTGTACTTGCCATATATTATAACAAAAGTCATATTCAAATGGTTTCCACTGTACTTGCCATATAACAAAAGTCATATTCAAATGGTTTCCATTGTACTTGCCATAAAACACAAGTCATTCAAATGGTTTCCACTGTACTTGCCATAAAACAAGTCATATTCAAATGGTTTCCAATGTACTTGCCATATAACAAAAGTCATATTCAAACGGTTTACATTGTACTTGCCATATGACACAAGTCATTCAAATGGTTTCCACTGTACTTGCCATATAACAAGTCACATTCAAATGGTTTCCAATGTACTTGCCATATAACAAAAGTCATATTCAAACGGTTTCCATTGTACTTGCCATATAACACAAGTCATTCAAATGGTTTCCACTGTACTTGCCATATAACAAGTCACATTCAAATGGTTTCCAATGTACTTGCCATATAACAAAAGTCATATTCAAATGGTTTCCATTGTACTTGCCATATAACACAAGTCATTCAAATTGTTTCCACTGTACTTGCCATATAACACAAGTCATATTTAAATTGTTTCCCCTGTGCTTGCCATTTAATTCTATATATGCATATAGTTGATATTCTGCTCTGGATATATGCTGCTCTGGATATATGAATACATAGATTTCCATTAATGACAGCCTTTATATATAAGTGTAATTAATGTCAATGTTAAAGTAAATAAAAAAATATAGTAAATATTAAGAACAAAAAACAATGATTGTTAATCAAAACTTTCTTTATTGCAGGGAATCCAGCAGTGCCAGCAAAAACTGATAGAATTAATGTGTCTTTTAGAGCTAGAGATTTGTTCGAGGAACACACGCCCTGTTATAGTTGCTACCAAACAGTTGACTTCTCACCATATTGACATGCTGTATAACAGAGTGATGGCAAATTGGAACACAAAGTCATGAGAATGTTACGTTGTTTATGTTGTGGGTTATGTTTTCGTAATTGTTTCGAAGATATTTCATTCATTAAATGTTGAAAGTTTGCTTTACTGTTTTGTTTTGTGTTAATAACTAAAAATAAATGAGCCGCGTCATGACAAAACCAACATAGTGCGTTTGCGACTAGCATGGATCCAGACCAGCCTGCGCATCCGCGCAGTCTGATTAGGATCCATGCTGTTCGCTAAAAGACCTTATAACAAGTAAAGAAACTGATAGCAAACAGCATGGATCCTGATCAGACTGCGTGGATGCGCAGGCTGGTCCGGATCCATGCTGGTCACAAACCCATTATGTTGCGTTTGTCGTTTACGTATCAGTCGATCATACAAAAAAGATGCGACTCAAAGTCCTAACATCGTCTCAGGACTTTGAGGAAGCCTACCTGATTGCCATGGAAGAGTTATCTGCGACTACGTCTATATTACAGACAGCTGATCTCGATATATGATCAACACGCGCGGACTCATACCTTACACCTCACCGACAACTCTTCGTGAACATAGTTTACTTCGAAAAATAACAAAACTCTGTTACACAATAAAAAACATACCCATTCTACCTGTGATAAATTGTTTGATTGTCACTTATTTACATGTTTATTTATTTCTTTTGGTTTTGTGGCGCACCAACACAATTTACGTCATATGGCGCGAAAACTGAAAAGGTTTTGGCTAACCTCTGATGTTACAAACTTTAAGCAACACCAGGGTTCAAAACCACATCACTTGCTGGAGCTAAGAGATGCATAGACTCCAATAATTCCAATCCATTCATTATCTTAAAAGATAATTATTACAAACTAACAAAGTCTTCATATTTCACATAGTGATTGGTCATTACCAGCAGATCACCCCTATTGATTTTGGGGTCATTAGTTCAGAGGTCACAGGGGCCTTAAATGTGATAATGGTTTCCGATTATTATCTTGAAAACTAATTATCAAGTCTTAATATTTCACATACTGACTGGTCATAACTAGGAAGTGACCTCTATTGATTTTGGGGTCGCTAAGTCAAAGTTCAAGGTCACAGGGTTCTTAAATGTTAATATGGTTTCCTCTTATTATCTTGAAAGCTATTTATCACAAAGTCTTCATATTTCTAATATCGATTTGTCATAACTATTACATGACCCCTATTGATTTTGGGTCACTAGTTCAAAGATCAAGGTCACAGGGACCTTAAATGTCAAAATGGTATCCGCTCATTATCTTTAAAACTATTTTATCACAAAGTCTTCATTATTTTTCTTTTTTCCATAGTTAAACACTTCCATGTATCCATTTATGGCAAGTTTCTATAACAAAATTACCAATAATGTGAGTCAAAGGCTAGAAAGGGGGGAATATGTGTCGGACATTTTTTTTGTTTCTTTATTTAGTACGTGGACATATATTAAATGGTCCCCTTACTTTTGGTGGAGTTTGGGATCACTATGTTTAAGGTCAAGGTCTCTGGTTTAAAAATAATTTTTTTACACATTTGCTTATACAGCCTTTATTGTGTAGCCTCAACGGACATATAGGGGTCACTTCTCTGTCGTCTGTCTTTCTGTCTGTCCTTCACAAAACGTGTTCGGACTACTCCTTAGAAC